TGACCTGACATTGACACAAGGTGGCTTACCTGTTTTTTTTACTGCCACTTACAGATCTTGTAGTTGGGTTAAGGGACTGCTGAAGGTTATTTATTTAATTGTAAATTCTTTTCTGAAAAAATGGATTTTTTAAAATGTAAATAATCATCATATACTCTTGCTATGGAAAACTAGTTTAACAGCTCATACTTAAAACATTTTTCAAACATTTTATAATATGCATACTTCTAACTAAGACATATTTAACTTTCATACAATGTTATGGAAAGCTGGCTGCAGAAGTCTGTTGCTTTGAGGTACTCATTTTTTCTAGCTGCTGTCCCTATGTAATAACTACCTGTAACAGTATTAATTTAGATTATTAGCTTGTTTGTACTGTGCAATCTGAACAAAAATGCAACATTACTCATTTTATACACAATAAACTAGTTTATTTTTTATAACATCACTTGATTACTGACATGGACCAAACTAGTCATCATCATAGGGTAGTTGCAGCATCTGTTGCTTTTCTAGTGTAGTTATTAAATGCACATCCATTTAAACTCTGAAAATTAAGACTATTAACGATTAAGTTTGAAATAAATTGTGATTTTATCATCTTTATTTCCTTTGTAGATAAGATCAAGTGCTTTAAAATGTACAAATATTAAATTGTTGCTTTAGAATGGCTTTATTAAGCCAATACAACCAGTACAAGTGCAATAATTGCGAGTATTACTTGGAAAGCTGGAGCTTTTTAGTGAACGCAACTTGAACTTCATTTTAAGAGTTGAAACTGATATTGCAAGTAGAGGAAGGAAAACCATTTTGAGTCCCAGCATTACGCTTATTCTGCATTGTAGCTACTGGTTACAGATAATGTCATACCTACAAGCCTGTTGTGACCTGATATCTAAATCCATTATTGTTTTAAGGGGATAATACTTAAAGCTTTTTTTATGATAAAAAACTTGCTTAATCTATGTTAAAAGAAATAAAAACTGTGCTTCAAGTTAATATTTTTCTGTGGTTCTGTGGTAATGATGTAAGCCAAGCCTATCCTGATCAGCTTGCTGCTGTTCAAGATCTGTACAAGTAAAACCGTACATTAACTGATATACTAACATTCTTAATATTCATATCTTATTACTATGCTACTGTTGTTTAGCAGGTAAATTTTTTTAGTTGTGAAATTTTAGAAGTTTGTACTTCTTATAGTAGTAATTATCTCTATGCAAATCTTACATGCTAATTTTGTATTTCAATTTCACTGCTGTTATACCTGTAATTAAAAGACAAATGTATTCAACTTTACTTGATGTTACTCCTGTGAAAAAATACCTATTTCTGACTTCAAGCCATTTACAGTAAATTATGAGAATTCAGGCAGGTCATCTTAAGAGAGACAAAGCTCTCAAAGAAACCACCTGATGAAGATTATTTTATAGCCCATGTGGCCTGTTTTTTACTGGATGAAGGAATCAAGCCTTTACCTTCTTAGTGCATCTTTGAAGTTACACCCAGAAGTGTACTGGGTTTAAGTGACAAGGGTGTGGTAACAAGAGGGACTGCAAGAGCTGCCCCTCTGTCAGACAGAGCCAGTTCCAACAGACCTGCCATGGGACACAGCTAAGCCTGTCAGCCAAGCTGGTGCCTCCCCTCTGTAATGTATTTAACAAGGGGTAAAAAATGCTGTGGGAGATAAGTGAGGAACAGTCCTGCAGAGAGACAGGCCTATAAAGGAGCAGGGGGCGGTATTCCAGGCACTGGAGCAGACATTCCCTGCAGCCTGTACAAGTTAACACATGCATTAAATGTTAATACTAACACTCTTGCTATTAACATCTTACTGCTGTGCTGCTGTTCAGCAGTTACATCATCTTAGAGCAGGGTGAGGCAGGCTGTCCCCCTGCAACCCATGGTAGAACAGGCTGGAGCGGATATCCACACTGCAGCCCATGGAGGACCCCACACAGAGCAGGTGGATGCAGGAGCCCTGAAGGAAGCTGCAGCCCTGCGAGCCCACAGGGGACCCATGCTGGAATAATCTGTTCCTGAAGGACTACCCATCAAGAGGAGGATCCCACATGGAAGCAGCTCCTCAGAGACTGTTTCCCATGAAGTGGACCCTGTACTGGAGTAGGGCAACAGTGTGAGGAGAAAGGAAGCAGCAGAGAGGAAATGTTGCTGACCATGACCTGACCCTCAGCTGACCATCCCCTGTCCTTCTGCACCGTTGTGGGAGAGAAGGTGGAAGAGTGAAGTTGGATCTGGGAAGAGAGAGGAGGTTGGGGGAAAGTGGTTTTATCTGTGTTGCTATCCTACTTTATTTTTAATTGGTAATAAATTAATTTTTCCAAGGCCAGTTTGTTTTTCCTGTTATGTGAACTAGTGAGTAATGTCCCTGTCTCAACCCATGAGTTTTCTCATTTTCTCCTCCTGGCCTGCGGAGGGGAGGGTGTCAGAGAGCAATTTGATGGGTACCCAGCAGCTAGCCAGGCTTAACCTATCACAATAGGTTTATTCATCTACAGATTTCCACTACTAAAAATAGGAAAAATGGGCCATTTAACCAGTTGAAGGTTAAAGAACATTTCTTTATGGAATTCCAAGTTATTGTCACTCCTCTCACTTTGCATATCCAGCTCACATGGCTGATGTAGGATTACCTCCTTCACCATTTGTGTATCATCAAGTTTTCTGGATCTGGTTCTCATCCTGTGCAAAACTAATTGCCTCAGAAAAATAGCAACAATACTGAATCTTTCATGCTACCAATTTAAAAGATACTTTCACGTAGGGTATAGTTGCAAAACTGCTTGAATCAAGTCACATGTATTTTTCACCATCGCATTTGTCAACCCACATAAGATAATTTTTCATCTGTGTTGTAGTCCAAAGCAACCAATTTAAATGGTTTTAGAGCTGAAGTGTATGTAAGCTACAGGTTGAGACAAATAAACAGAAATATCAAAATTCATCTAGCCAGAACTTGTACACAGGAGGTCCTTCTTCTCATTACAAACTGATGGGAGAAGTTGTCTATGGCAATAATAATACTATAAAAGATGATGGGTCAATTGTGTAGGGTGGTAAGCTGGTTTCAACTGAAAGAAAGAGAGCCTCCAAGCAAAGAAAACAAAGGCTACCGACAGAACTTAATGTCTCATTTTGGTTTTCTGTCCTAGAGCTGAAGACTGTTGAAGTACTCCATGGGCAGTGAAAGGAATGTCAGCTTATGGTGAATCAGATATGTCATTCCCGTGTTTAACACAGAAAAGTGAGGAGCTTCCTACTGGAGAGCATTAAGACTCTGCAAAAGCCCACAGCTGTAGACTGAAGCCAGCTAAACCATAGACACAAGGCACCTATAAAAAAGAAGTGGCGGACCACCCCCTCCCCACAGAAGAAAAACCACAACATCCCCAGGTATACCATGTATGGTTACTTAAATTGACCTGCATACCTATTGGCTTTGAAACTTCTAGTTGTTCCAGTCTTAAAGCATTTAAGACTGATTCTTGCAGCTTTCTGAAAGTGAATTCTTAAAAAAAACCTTTTGTTAGTGGCCAGTGATTCTTGACACCCTGCTTGAAATAGAGGTAGCAGTGACTCAATCTCCCTAAACTAGCCTGTACTTCCTGCTCAAAATAGAGCTTTATGCTTGGCATGTTCTCAGGTTGCGCCCACAGCTTTGACATAAGCATTGCATGCTGCAGCCCAACAGTGTACAAGGAGCCTGGCTAATTTCCAGGACCAGTTCTAGGACCTCCAAGACTGGAACAGATTTTCATGAATATTGAGAATGAATGTTGTGTCTTCAAAATAGAAGTCATGATTACGTAAACTGACACTAAGAGTTTTGTGACAGAACAAAGACGACATGCAAGATCAGTAAATCTTTCTCATCAAGACTGCATATCAACTTTAAGGTGGGTCACCCTGCAGGCTCCTTCCAGATAATTACCAAAAATCAGATTAGGTTTAGCCCTCAAGGGAAGAAAGTACTGAACAGCTTTGCCATGCAGGCAAACTCTTCATTAGCTCTGTCCCATATGCTACTATTAGCTCTGTAGAGACCTGTTAGATCTTGTCTGTTTGATTAGTGTTTTTCCAGCTTGCTTGCAACCCAACCTAGATTGACAGACGGTAAAGACAGGTCTTGCTCACACAGAACAGCCCCACTCTGTGTGTGATAGCTGAAATTCTCCTGTTCATTGGTATCCCAACACTTTCTTTCTTCAAATGCATACTTCTACTTGACAGGCAACCTTGAACATACTTTAATGATGCATTAGATTGTATAACCACAACATGTACAGGTCTCCTTTGCTTAAACTGATAAAATGCTTTGCTGAAATTGGTAAAATCCTTAGTACTTGGAGAGCTTCAGAAATATGTATGTTAATAAAGAACATAATAAATTTTCAAAGCCACCAAAAGTCAGAGAAGAACAGAAGAGTAAAGCAATTTAGAAGAAGTTGTGGATGTAAATTGTTTCAGATGAATAAGGAAAATTCTAATCAGCTGCCCCCACTAAGAATAAATGATTTTTCTACTCCCTGTCCTTCTATCCTTAAAATTATCTGCTTGCATTTTTTACACTTCACAGAGTAAGACACACAATGTTGTTTTATGAGAAATAAACAGTAGCAGAAGACTAGTCTACTTGTAATCAATGGAGAAGCAGATGGACAAAGAAACAGCAAAATTTTCCTATTTGTGATTAACAATAAATCTACTTTCAAACATCAGTTTTGCAAAGGATACTTAGCTTTGCTACCAGTGACTCTTCCATATCTTACCTGAAGAACCACCTTCCTCTCCAGGAAACCATTAGGGCCCCCATTTTAACTTTTCTCAGCTAAAGTGATTCTGACATTCCTTGGCCGTGCTTATATTCCACACAGCTCTTAACTCTAGCTGTCTTAACACTAGCATCACTTAGCAGTATTTCTACTCCAAGCTTAAATAAAGCATTAGTGCAATGGATAAAAACAACTCAAATATACCTTCAGTCATGCTAAAAAACAAATTTCACTAATCAAGTCTTGCTTTTATTTACAAAGACAGAAATTTGCAAAAAGCAGACATACCTCATAATTAAATTATTTAAGAAGCGTTAAATCCTGAGATAGCAAAAGTTATTGCTTCACTGAAGTTTCAGAAATTGCCAGCAGGCATTTTTGTATTTTTGGCTCTCAGTATGAATTCTTCACACAGCAATATTTCAAAGCTTTAAATCAGGCAAAACACAAAAATCAAAACTGAGGAAGACAGTAAATACCAGTGCAGCCTTAGTTAACTAGCTGTGCATCAGCTAGAGTACAGTACGAGACATTCACTGAGATTCAAGACACGAGAGTTTTAGGTCATAACTCTGATTTTCAAATCACTAATAGCACTTTTAAATAATATAGGGATTGTAGTTTCAAATCAGATACAATCGAGTGATGATTAATGAATGTTAATATAGAAACCAACTGGTTTTTAGATAGTGATGGCTTGTTCATTATGATTACAGTAATTAAACCTCTTACCCTAGTCCATGAGTCAGATGACAATCTTTGTGAATGTCCCTTGCAACAAATGAAACTGGTTGTTGCCACTATCATGCACAATTACAGAACAATCTGAAGGAAAAATACCAAACTGGAGAGTTGTTATCCATCCCAGCTCACACAAATTAACCGTCACATAGTTTTTTTCATGTGCCCTGCAAACTTACCAGTACTACCATGTTTTTACTTGAAATGAAGATGCATTTGCGTGACATTAGGCAATACTCATGCAATGAACAAAACACTGTAAAATCTGTAGTGTGGTACTGATGTAGCCAAATGTTTTATATATAAGTTTGGAAAAAGACAGGAAGCTTCTTCAGATACACAGAGTTCTTTAAATTTTAGAAATTACCATTAATTATTAATGACTAAAAAAACCCCCAAAACCTGGTAAGTATAAAAAAAGAGGTCAGTAGCTTCTTATTTCAAAGCTTGTCAATTAAAATTGGAATATACTCTGAATCACTCATAGTCATTTATAAAACCCATCCTTTGAAAATAAGAGCAATTCAGAAATATTAGACATCTTTTTAAGATTACTCTTTTATATATTTTTCCTTATGGAAAGCAAACCTTATTTTAAGAAATAGTTAAAGGTATTAGCAAAGTGTGATACCGTCACACTACCAAAAGTCTCTCCAGAGGAGATACCAAAATTAGCCAATTCTAATAAATTGGAAGGTAACTTGAAATTTAGAGTAATTATAAGACATCCACATAAAGGAGTGAGCACTCTTACATATGAGAGAGCAAGTCAACTGCTCATGTGCTGAGACTGAAAGATCCCAATACAAACAAAAAACACAAGATGATAATTAGGTTGAACTTACCCACTCAGGATGTAACAGTGAAGAGACAGAAAAAATAGTAGGAACTAAGGTTTTTAAGAGAAACATGTAATTTGGATGGATGGATGGATGGATGGATGGATGGATGGATGGATGGATGGATGGGTGGATGGATGGATGGATGGATGGATGGATGGATGGATGGGTGGATGGATGGATGGATGGATGGATGGATGGGTGGATGGATGGATGGATGGGTGGATGGATGGATGGGTGGATGGATGGGTGGATGGATGGATGGGTGGATGGATGGATGGATGGATGGATGGATGGATGGGTGGATGGATGGATGGATGGATGGATGGATGGGTGGATGGATGGATGGATGGATGGATGGATGGATGGGTGGATGGGTGGATGGGTGGATGGGTGGATGGACAGACAGATACCATATTCCATCATAGGATTGATTTTTCTGCATTGTGCATTTGCTAAGGAATGGGAATATAACCTGCACAAGCACCTTAGCTTTCAGTGACTTCATCCATGACAAAAGTAATGTTTAGGCCTTTGCCACCTCTGTCGCCACACCAAGGGAACAAACATCTTTTAGTTGAAGATCTGACTTGAATAGGACGGATAGGATTGGAAGGTGGTACTCCACATATATGTGAAATACACTTATTATTTCAGACAGCATCAAAATAATTCCATGAAGCCTTTCCATTACAACTGCCACCAAGTGCAGTTTTCATTTTAAAAAACCCACTAGCCAAACTGTCACTTCAGTGGAAGAACCAAGGTGAATTGCATTCACATTGACACAAGTACCATTATATCCCCAAGAGAGCAGTAGTCTTTAAATAGTCAAACTGCCAAAGAAACACCATTTGTTGCTGAAGTACTTTAAATTCTTGTTGAAGTCTCTGGTATCTTGTTAGAAAGTGCTTGCCACAACTGTATTCTGTGTCAGATAACCCTATCAGCCCTGCAGCAATACTGTCAAAAGACAAAAAGGTCATAAGTGCAGGACCAACCAGAAGAAAACGTCCAGTTTGGAAACCTCTCCAGTAAGGCATAGAGTTGAGGTGACTTTTGATCTTCCCCAAAAAAATAATGTGCTGCTATGGCGAGGGAGACTATTCCATCAGAATGCTTTTCTGGGGTCTGAAAGTGAGAAGAGGACAACACAGCCTTGTTTATGGCTTTTAAATGTAAGATCAATCCAGATGCATTTTTCTACAGGCAATATCTATGCAACAAACTTCATCCTGCAGTTCTTTGTCCTATATGTTAAAATACTTCCAATCTTCAACGTATCAGTCTGATTACATGACAAGTTCAATTTGAAATGAACTGGCAACTAGATATTTAGATCTCAGCGTCTCTGACATGTGACACAACTTTCAAGTGCTCCAACTTCAGTGTTTGTATCTGTCTGTTTTGCTGACAAATCAAGATATGGACTCCAACACACCATTTATGCTGATCCTTCTACTGTGAATCCTGAGGATGTAGAGCCTTCTCTGCACAGCTTGGCCACTATCAGCCTTGCAAAGCTTGTCACACTCGAGACTCATGTCTGCCTTTACAAAGTATCCTCAGAGGATTATTTGACAAGTGTTTAGTCTGCCTGATGCAGGAAGGAAAAAGGGACTTTCTGAACTTTCAAGGACTATTGTAATATTTACTCAATGACTAAGACATTGTTAAACCTCTATACAGTGTTAAACCTATAGTACAGATATGCAAAAAGTTACTGATTGGCAAGTTAAGAAGTGGGTGGACAAATGATAAATCCCACTGAAACAGCAATGCTGGAAGCCTTGCTTCCAACTGAAAACAATGTAAAAGAAAATTTAGGAAACACAGCTTTTACAACTCTCTCCAGCTTCAAGGTGGTAAATTTTCCACTAAGGACTCTTTGTAATTTTCCAAAACTAAGCAAAAAATAAAAAACATGGAAAGGAAACTATTCATAATAGGAAAAACAACCCTGAAGTAACAGTAGTAAGATAAAACTTCAAAAACTATAAGGGTAAGATTGGAGAAATCCAAACTTACAACCGAAGACTGTGGAGACCAGGAAAATATTCTCCCCTTAGTTATTGGGCAAGTTAGTGGACTACTCTTTGAAAATATATGTGACCTGACACATAAAGATGACATACTTAAGGGGGGGACACTAGAATTAAGGTCTATCAAATAAAGTGAAGCGTCAGGAAGCCATTATGACATTTTTCACACAGGAATGCAGCAATGGTGACAGGAGGGCAGACCAAGGCACCAGCAGGTTTCCAGCAGCCACGTACTCACCTTCAGCTCTACCCAGAAGTGCCAGGGTGCAGCCTGCAGCCCGTGGGAGTAGAACACAAAGTAGTCCCCTCCTATGCTAGCAACTGGTGTGCCATCCCCGAGAGACCAGCTGGACAGAGCCACCCCTTCATGTGGCCGAAGGTACAGAGACATGTGACTTGGGCCTGCAGGGACGGAGATACGGGTCTGGGTGTACAGCACGTAGGGGCAGAACAATTACCTACATAATTGCATGTTACCTGTGTGTTACTACTCATGTCTTTCAAAACATGATACAACTGCATTCCCTACAGAAGAAGCTTCAAAATTTTCTAAGCTTCGAGATAAAGGAGATGATGAAGTAGCAGAGGAATGTAAGACTATATATAAATATAATACAGTCCTGTAGTGTGCATATATATGTTTGTGTGTATGCGTGTGTATATACACACTATATATACTAATATAGAGCTATAAAATGGACTTTTAGAGAGGACCTGCTGTAAAACAATTGAGACTTACTCACGCAAGGTCATCAGTCCCAGAAATAAGAACTGCTAACACAACACCCACAGGTTCCTGTGTGTTAGGAAGCTGAATTAATTCATGTTAATCTCACAAAGCTCACCATTTTGGGAATAGCACTAAAACCTGCAGTACTGTAGTCAAGGCCTGATCTATTATGGGCATAAAAATAAATACAAATCATAGGCCAGAAGCTTCAGTCACTCACCAGATACTTCAAAACTTAACCTCACAGAGTTCAAGGGCATCAGCTCCTTGGACAGAACTTTAAATTGAATGGGGCTTCTTGGTAAAATTTCCGGAGCAGGAAGATACCAGTTTTTCCTGTGGAGAAAAGTTTCAAGTTATTCTTGGTGCAACACCATGAGGTACTAAACAGGTACTAGAAACCAAGAAGCTTCTGTATAGTATAGCTGTCTGTGCTGCTACTAAACGAAATATACCAAAGCTATTGATTCTAGTAGAAGGCAGATAAAATCAGCAGCTTGTGGCCAGACAAATATTTAAGGATGTATTAACAGAAAGACAGTAACCAGTGTATTTACTCATTACCTTCCTTCACCTCAATTTATAAAACAAACAATCAAGAATATTTGCACCTTCAAACTGCTACACTTCTGCTCGCGAGATTCTTGGGGTATGAGAAATAGTCACAGTAGCTGGTTTTCTTCTGTGGAGACCTGGTACTCTAGACATCCTCTGCTGTCAGCCGGGGTGAAGGGGGCAAGAAGGGAGGAGACATACGTACTCCTATTGTGAACTGCCCTTCAAAAGGTCCCCCCTTCACCTTTTTCTCCATTGGTGCTTACATCCATTTTCCACCACTCAACTTTTACAGCTCCTGCAGCAGACCCAGCAATCTCTGCCAGAAATTCTGTCAGAAGACACTGCACCTAAGCAGAAGTTTGCCTTCTGAAGAGGAAGAATTATTTATTTTTAGACTGAGATTAGCCCTGCTTTTTCTTGCCTTGCTTTTTCTCCCCTTACACAAGTGAGATTGCATAAACAAGCAATGTGCTTTGCAGTTAAGTGCTCAAGTGAAGCAGAGTTCACACCAACCGGAACATGAAATGCACTGGTAGAATCCAAGGAAGGCCACAGAAGGGAGCCTGTTCCTCGCATGGAGTTCTAATAGTGTCATTAATTTCAGGCACATGGGGAGTTATGTGAGATATTCCATTATAATCAAATCCATTAATCCATATACCAGAGTCACTTTTAACCACATTTCCATCTAGATCATGAAATCTTCTGCTTGTGTGCTGGAAGAGAAAAAAAACACAAAAGCAATATGATGGAGCCTGCAGCATTTGCAAGAGTCAGAGGTAACTCTGAAATATCCTCCATGTCAATCCTTAAGGTCTACTGCATTTTAAATACGCACTGAACATGTATCTAAGTATTTGAATATGAATACAAGAAATACTTATATCAAAAACATACCATGAAAACACATTCAGAAGATGACTCTGACTGTATTAGCTTGCCTCCCATGTCTTTTTAAATTACCACTGTTCACTCCCACTTAAAACCCCCTAAAATACCCTGCTCTTCTGATACAAATGAACAGAAAACTTAAGACTAAACAAGGGAAACTCAGCAGCAATTCTTTCAAATCCAGGAATAACCATTAGAGTTTTTAAATCAAGAAAGAAAGGAAAGGTTACTTTTTCCTGGGGTGGAAGAAGTGGCGGAAGTTAAGCTTTGAAAAAAACCAAACTCTTGAAACCAACAGAGGCAATAGGACATGGAAAGCTTTTTTTACCTGGAGAAAGACTCGCTTAGGTTTTGGATTAGCTGCATCTGAACTGTAAGGAAAGAAGATTCCACTGCAAACAAGAATGAGAGTGACTACAAACACAGTAGTTAAAGTTACTAGCGTTGTTTTTGTACTTTTGACAAGGTAGATGAAGTTAACCTAGAGAATAAAAAAAAAAACAACCCAGTTATAAACTGCGAGACTTAAGAAATAAGACACTACTTGTATAACTCTAAAATTCAGTTACAGAACTGAAAGTAAATTAAAAAAATAGTTGCAAATATCATCTGACACAAGATACTTCTTTGTAAACTCTGTACTTAAAAACAAGAAAAAAAGTGAGTACTTCCTGAAGCTTTTAAAAATTTCCTATTTTTAGAACACCTGTCAACAAAAAATACCTGAACTAGAACCTTCCCAGGTTCTATGGCAGCAGAAAAAAAACCCAGATCTGAGAATTCTTTTTGAAGTGTCATGTATGTATTGTTCACCATGAACTCCATCTAAAACGAATGCCTGCTCAAAATTCAACATCACATTTCATATTTTACACCAATCTTTACTACATCATCATAAAGCAATGTAAGCCCTGCTTCAATGACTAACATAAAATGTGGAATCTTTGGCCTTTTTTTTAAGAACTTTCCTGTAAAATTTAAGATATTGTCTAATTTTCATTAACTTCTAGTATTAATTAAGAAAAATTTCTTATTCTAACTCTAGAGAAAGTTTAAAGGTTTTAAACAACATTTACAAATTCTACTTACAAAATACGATGACAGTATCATAGTGAAGATCACAATAAATCCTGCCAATACCATATCTGGTGGAATTTCTGAGCCACTTCGTCCCATGACAGGTGTAAACATTTCAAATACAGTCCAGCTAAGATACAGCATATACAGATAAGGAACAAACATCCCCAGCATGTACATCACAATAAACTTCATCGTGGCACCTACAGGGGACAGAAAAAAGACAAAAATAAGTAAAAGCTCAAAAGGACACAAACACAAAGCTTTACTGATATATCCATATACTGCTGCAAGGCCCAGGTCCTCATCCCTGACGCGGATATAGAAAGGAATTCTCATTTTGTATGGCAAATACCAATATGACGTTCAAAACCACCACAAAACTAATCTTGTCTTACAAAAAAAAACGTAAACAGGTATTCTGTCCCATACATTCTTTAAATATTACATTATTTTTTAAAAACCTTTATGTTCCATCAAAGTATCTGATCACTTTTTAATAAACCCACATATTGTTTTATTAGCCTGAGACACAGGATGTTTTTCAGTGTATTTTTTTAAAAAAAGCTTCTCATATCTTAAAACTGTCTTTAGTTCAAGAACACTTTTTCTCATTACAAAATTGTGACACAGTTAGTTTGACTACTCAAATTCAATATTTGGAATTTCTTTTGCTTAAATAGCAGAGTAGGGGCAAAGGTTTTGAAATACAACCTCCGCCTCTCAAAACTCGTACCTTTTTGGTGGAATTCCTTGTGGATCATCAGCTTAGTGAGTAAAGGAAATGCTACCCATAATGTACAAATGAATGCTGAACAAAGGCCCATCTGAGTCATCACAGCTAATGCTATAGACCAAATCATCAATGAGGCATCAAAAAACATATCTCCCAGGTACTGCTCATTCATATTCTGTAACATAAAAAGCAAATACACTTAATTATTGAGGATATTCCATGGATCCCACCTCATCAGAACACACACAAAAAAATCCTTATTTCTTGTATATAATTGTTTTCATTGGGAAATTTCCTGTTGACAATTTTGAGAAGCATCACTTCACCATTTTCTTACCATTTAGAGTTACCCAGGAGAGTACATTTTTTTTATTACTTTTTTAAAACCTGTTGACATAGCTTGAAAAAGAAATTACCTGGGCTGGGACAGAAGAAGGAAGGGAACGTACAAATGACAATACAAGGAACACACAAGGTTAGTGTTTCAAGTACACAGGCAAACAGGGTCTTTTAATAAAAAACATAATAGCATAGCAAAAAAAAGGTTACATAGTACTTGCATGTGAAAAAGTTATCTACATGTCCTGAGGATCTAAACTTGCTTTGGAACAGCAGCTGTTAACAGACTTTTTATACGAGCACTATTATTAGTGCAGAAATAAACTGGTGCCTTTACAGGTCATGCCACAAGGTGTCTCTTCAGAAGCCTGATTTTTAAAATATGTTATTTTTTTGAATAAAAGACATGCATAGGTGAGATAATACCAGATATGTTTAAATGAAAATAAAAAAAAAAAAAAAAGGAAGGAAGTTTAACCATCAAAACTGTGGTTTGCTCTGCTTTTGGCGGGGGGTGGTTTGTTTTGGGTTTTTTTAAGTTACATGGGCAGAGCTACAGTCTTTGCAGTGTAAGATTCTTAACTGGAAAACCTGCTAGTAGCAAGAACAAGTGCTTGCATGAACAATGGTTATCTGAAAGCACCTAGTTCAGTTTTGGGGTGAGAGAAAAAAAAAAAAAAAGGAGGGGGGTGAAGAAACATATGACTTGCCAAACCTATTTCAAAACATAAAGCTTATTAATTCCCAAGTTGCTGAGCCATGAACAGGCACTGCCTCTGACAGCCAAGGAAGAGACAGGATTCCAAAACTTTTATGCAAGTCTACGTAAAAAACAAATTACAGAGGCAGCCTAAACTGTGCAGTGTATTGCAAGCTACAGCATGAAAGGCTTGGGACTTCGAGATGGCTGATCTGATGACCAGGCAATCAGTAGGCATGAAGTAGTTCCAGACCCTGGAATGTCTGAACAGTTAGTGAAAGTACCAGCCAGCTCATTCAAAAGATAAAAAACATGGCATCTAGTTTATAAATGGCTCATCTTTTTCACAGCGGGTCAACATCACACACATATACTTAGTAACATACATGTACCAGTTAACAATTCCTCTCTCCGAAAAACTAAAGAAAAAACAAACAACAAAATTCCAGAGAAAGACATGATGGATCCACACAGAACTTCTCATACAATCAAATCTCACTAAATTCTTAAAACCTTTTCAAACATTTGTATGAAGCTGGATTTGGCTGACAACTAAGGTTTCCCAAACTCCTAGTCCAAACCTCATACAAATGGCCAAGAAGTAACAGTAAGATGAATGACTAAATATTACTATACCTAAATTCTCCACCTAGCATGCCTGAGTAGTCAACTTCTGCCCTGGAAAAGTATCATCTATCAGATATCTCAAGGCCCTATTTGTTTTCAATACAAAACCATTAAACCATCATCTAAATATATAGGAATGTTATCAGCTATAATTATTATAAATATAATTATAAATTATATATCTATAAAATATATATAATTATAAAAAATTATGCAAGTTAAATAGCATTGGTTAGTCATAAAAAAGAATTCTAGGCAGAACAGTCAGACAGATAGTAAACATGACAAATTACAGCAATGGAAAGATAACACACACCAAATCCTCACTGTCTTGCAGGGGCCTAAATGACCTACTGCAGAAAAGAACACTTTTCCATCTTTTCCATCTCCAGCTGTGGTCAAAGCAACTGTAAGTCAGAATAACCACAGAATTGTTTAGGTTGGAAAATACCGTTAAGATCATTTGAGTCCAACCTATACCTGGCACTGCCAAGGCCACCCATAAACCATATTCTCAAGTGCCACATCTACACATCTTTTGAATACCTCCAGGTACTGGTGGCAACCCCTTCCCTGTGTCAGTGGTTGATGATCCTTTCCATGAAGAAATTTCTCCTAATATCCAACCTGAACCTCCCCTCACACACCTTGAGTCCATTTCCTCTTGTTTTATCAGTAAGTTGCCTGAGAGAAGACGCCAACCCCCACCTGGCTACAACCTCCTTTCACATGGAGTACCAGAATGCCCTTCTTGGAGTGAGCAGACCAAAACTGGTCATAAGATTTGAAGGGCAGCCTCACCAGTGCCAGGTACAGAGACAATCACTGGCCTGGTCCTGCTGGTCACACTACCGACAGGTCAGGATGCCACTGGACTTCTTGGCCACCTGGGCACTGCTGGATCATGTTCAGCTACTGTTTAACCAGCACTCCCAGGTCCTTTTCTGCTGGGCAGCTTCCCAGCTATTCTGTCCCCAGCCTGTAGTGCTGCCTGGGGTTGTTGTAATCCAAGTGCAGGACCTGGAACTTGGCGCTGATGAACCTCACACCACTGGCCTTGGCCCATCAATCCAGCCTGTCCAGATCCCTCTGCAGAGCCTTCAAGGGAAGAGCTTCATTTAGAAAGCTCTATACAGCACAGATTACTGTATTAGAACAGGGCATGGCAGAGGTAAAATTCTGACAAGATATAAGAAAAAGCTCTCTCATGAACCATCTGAAAAAAAAAATCATATTATTTGCTTAAGGGTTTATGAATACAAATGACATCACCAACATGATAATAAAAGGACAGAATTGAACAGAGAGAGTTGGAGTTCCACATTTTGCAACAAAATACAAATGATAAATCAGATTAAATAAAGTATTAAAATAAAAAAGATTAAATCATGGAATTATTAAAATTATTTAATATTAAAGTATTAAAATAATGGAAGAGACATAAGGAGGTACTGTACCACAATAAATTATTAAATACAGTGAATCTGTCATAGTATATTCAGTGAATCAAGTATATTTAGAGGCAAGAACCTCATAAGAGTCAAAGAACATTTGAGTAGATATTTAGATTCTGTAATTATCAAGAACACTGAAAGGTATCAAAAATATTCTCCAGCTCTTCCTCTTATCATTGAAATGATGACAAGAAGGAAGGTGCAGATAGGGCAAGAAACTGTACCTTATAATGTATTGTACTAGGCTTTTGCTTTTTCTGTGAAGTTGACCTCCTAAGGTCAAGGCTGCCTTAAATCACAAAGTTCTTACCTCTCTGATTTAGTAGAGCAATCCCTATGTTTAGATGAAGCAATTTTTATAGTGACATTTTAAATACTCAAAAAACTTTTTCCATCTTTTTAATCAATGCAAAAAATAATCCTTCAACAAATTAAACATTACATTGCCCTTCAATATTAACAGCAAAGTCAAACCTACCTTGTAGAAGAACTTCTTGGCCAGCACATGCACAAGAATAAGCTTTGCTGCAGCTGCACTGCCATACAGAGACACAGAAACATAGAAATGGGTGTACCAAGAAAGAGCCCGTCCAATGACAGAGACAAACACGGCCACGATAAGCACGGCCACCAGTGTGCAAACCCAACTCGTCAGTGTCAAGCCAAATGCAGTAAATAATTTCTTCAGGTTATAAATAGCTATGAAGAAGAAAAAAAAAGTTTGATTCAACAGTCATGTATTCTACTGCAGACTATCATCAAAATTTTAATTACCCCATGGTACAATTGCTTTAATGAGTAAAAGAAAACGGCATGAGAAGTTCACTCTGAAGACTTCTTAACAGCATGGTCAAAACCTCTTAGTCTATTTCTTTGCATGTCTTTTTGCAGTCTTCCCCACTACAAGATTTATTCCCATAATACTGGTGTACTTTGCAGATTACTGTGTTCCTGATAGTAAAAATATTACTAGGGAGTCAGTGAAACTACCATTTTTAAGTCTCAAAACCAACAAAAACAATTGAAAAACTGGAGTTGTTTTTCTTGTAACTTTTTCTTGCTCCAAAAATGTTTTCTGGATTTTGAGGGGGAGGTGGTGTCAGTGTGTTTTGGTTTGATTTTTTTCTTTTTAAACAGATATGTTCCTACACGTATCTGAAAAGGTCTAACTAGAAGATTTAGGTCAGTTTACACACTTTATTAAGCTTTGTTGTCATCTTCCCCATTTGTTGTTTTCTTATTTATTCCTGCCTACAGATAGGTGTTAAAGAAACATGATTCTGAAGCCATATCTGAACTAACAAAACAAAAAATAGATACTAAGTAATTTCTTTTCAATTTTTAGATCTTTAAAATATTTAATTTTAATTTCATGAAATGATAAGACACCAAATCATGATTCATAAATACTAAACATCTAGGCCTGTCATATTCTTTCATCATGGTAATTATTCACAGTTGACAGATTTAAACACATAGCAACTCCTGTGGCATGCTACATGGCTAGAATTTATTTCTGAAGCTTGTCCTAAAAGATGCCATAATGGCCTGAATGCTTTTCCATCTACACTTTTTATCTACTAATTGCTATTCATTAAAGAGTAATGTGATTGTTTTTTTTTAAAAAACTGGACTTACCCCTGGTTTTTGACTGTAATACTTTTTTGCTTAAATAAATAAAAGCAATTGCTGCTGTAATATAGTTCATGATTGTGCCAATGCGAGCAGGATAAGCCAGGACAAACAAACCAAGTATATCGAAGAACACAACATTTCCATGTCGATACTCGAAAGATTTAGCCAACTTTTCTGATGTTGCTAGGTATTTTAGGACAGCTAGAATATTGTCACCTATTAAAAGAGCAGATACACAACATAATTGCATCAGGGTTGGTAAATTAGCACACAGCATTTTTTTTAATAGAACTGTTCTTAAAAACTGTATAGAAATATTTTTAACAAAGACATGTACAACTCATTATTCTCAAAGTGGTATCTGACAACACACACGGCATAGTATTTTCATGAGTATATACAGCTGTCACTAAAATGAGGATATTCAGGAAGCTTCATGCACTTAAAACCATTGCAATTAAATCAGGTATTCTGCTCATAAGTACTTCTTCAGTTCCGATATTTAGCACTGGACTTCAAGGCTAACCCAGAGAAGAATTTATAGTTTCCTGATCTTCCTCCTCTTCTCGTTGTCTCTAAGTGACACCTCCACGTTTCAATGACTGTGAGTTACCTGCCTTTCTTTCCCTGCATGTCTGTAAGGTAGAAGACAAGGTGGCTATTTTCCTTTGTAGCCTACAGGCACTAATCACCTTTTCATTTCCTACAGCACAGCCAAAACACATGCAATCAAATTACAACAATTGTTCTCAACTTTCATTTTGATTTTAGTTGACCTTTAAAAGCACTGAAATGTCTTTTTTTTTTTTTTTTAATCTATGTGCTATGTTTAGCAGAAGATGTTCTACATAACCATCATGAGCAGTAAAATCATCTTCCAAACAGGAATTTAGAAGTGTTACTTTCTGTCTTGTAGCTGCATTGTTGCAAGGAAGTGTTTAAAACTCTTTTTCATGCTGGTCATTCTAAGCTGGCTCCTATATGAGCTTGAAGAGGGAACAGGAGGTATTTAGGACTGTTAGCTTTTCTGGGGAAATTAAAAAGTCATACTGTTATTTTCTTTACTGCAATCTGTCAAAACCCCATCAATGAGCACAACCTGTTGTAGAAAATAAATCCTGTTTACTCAGTCTGTGTGCTACCATGTAAGTCTGACTGAGATCCATTCTAAAGGAGAAACTTCTGTTGGCAGATCAGTCTCTATGTCACCAACTAACCCATAAGCTTCTGATGAGAAATATAACCAATAAGAAGGCTTAGTGAGAGAAAAGGAATACAGAATGCTGAACAACCAGGTATCAATGGCTAGGTGACAACTGATTTGAAAGTAATCATGAAATCTAATTAACATCACTGGACGTTGATAGAGTTTATCTTCCCAAGTAGACCATGTATATTTCCTTTGTGTTTAAAAGACATATATTCAGTTAATTCTTTGTTCTTTAGAACATGTCCAACATGTACTACATGTGTCATTAAAATTATTAACTTCTTGTGATAGCAGTCTTACAGCAAAATGACAAAGTAACTACAACACTACTCTTAGGTAAATTACTGAATTCTTAAAATACCAACCTGCTCTCTGAATGGAATCTGTTAAAATTCTGTCTGATGTGTCATACTTTGTATGATAAATGTAGCCATTTTCAATAAAAGCCAAATCTATTCCTACAGAAAGAGAAAATGCATTTTTAAACTTATGTAATTCTAAACCCCCCAAACAAACATGTGGAAGTCTCACATACATTTCACAGAAAATGTTGCTCTACTTTGTAGCACAGTCATTATACTTAAAGAAACAAAATAGACTCCTTTGTGAAAGGAATACTAACTGAGATTCTGAGTGTATTATAAAGAGAACAGTTCCAAAACATTTTAAAGTATCTGTCCTTTCTACTGTACCGATTCACATGATATCTGTACACAACTGGAGAAACACCTGAAAATTCCAAACCATCTCAGCTTCAGAAAAGATATACAAGGTGCTTTCCAAATGTTTACTTGCAAAGCTTCAATAAATATTTATGCTGAAAAGTAATAAAAAGCAGCATCGTGGAACTATAGAAACACCTTCTCAAAATGTGTGTTCTTTCTACTTCTAATGTGTTAACAGGTTTTCAGAGAGCCAGTCTGAAAACTCTTATTTTGGAAGTCCATTTAATTTGTTCAACTGAACAAAAACATTTCCCAAAAGCCAAAGGTTATACCGCTAAATTAGTCATACATTCACTGTATCCCAATTGTCTCCTCAGATGCACATGCAAAAAGTTGCTATATGCAATCTCAATCCTCACAATTTTGCAGAGGTTTGACAAATTAGACCTCAAATCTACTAGTGGACAAAGAGGAACCAACTAGTTCTTTAACTCAATTATTTAATTTTTATTTCTTTGGAAAAATAAAAAAAAGGTCAGTGAGAATTCATTTACCATCCAGGTATCACTCTGAACAAATAAAGAACACATTGTACAAAATCATCTACTTTATTTCCATGCTGGAAGCTTAGAAGAGCTTAGAATAGGCCAGAACAACTGTTTTGTTCTAACAATCAATTCAGAAATATCACTTTTCTCGAAAGTGACAATCTGTCCCAGACAACAAGGATTTTACAGAAGTTTACAGTCCTTTGAGTTGTGTTCAAATTTCACATTGTGTGAACATTTCACATTTTTTCCCCACTGGTCATTCCCTGCAGAATGGATACTAAACTGAAAACAGATTAGTAAAACTAAAAAACTTCTGACCAGTGCTTGTTATTAAAAAAAAAACACAAAAAACAACAAACTCCAAAATCCAAGAGTAACGGAAATGCATTAATGACTAAATCATTATCTTTAAAAAAGATGATTTTCATTTATCCATTAGATACAGACATGTCACTCCTACAAGCAGGCTACTAGCATTATGTACCAAAATGTTTCAATACAGAATATTTAACAGGGTGCTGTTGATTCCTGAAGTATTTTCCTGATTTTCAGGAAACTTACCTACCATGCAGTTTTTTTCAGAAAAACACCAGTCTTCAAAAAACAACCCTAGCAAACGGTATGAAAAACTAAATCTAAAAGCTCTTCCTTAGGAAAAACGCAGGAAAATTTGCTCCCAGACAAACCAAATTTGAGGACCTTCACATAATGAACCACATAACGTTATACTTTTTATAAGCTTAATGTGCATTGACATCTTTAACGATAACATACCTGGAACATTGCCAAAATCCCTGTAGATACGGAAGTCTGTATCCGCTGGGATAATACCACTCTGAAATATTTCCTGTGCCACCACAGAAGCAAAGGGATGTTTGGCTGCAACTACATATGCTTGTACCAACCAAGGGTTCTCAGGTCCTAACAAAAGATGAGCAGAAAGTTCACAGCTAATACTTTTTGAACCTCAGTTAAGATATGCATCTTCATGGTAACAAATACAGAATGCAAAGGAACTCACTGAAGTTGTTAAGCTGTTGCCCCACAGGGTATATAATAAGTACATTCATGTTGGCTGAGTGACTCACACTTGAGAAAATACACTTGTGGAGAAAGAAACAAGCCACCGTTGCCTTGCGTGTTCAGTAGCAGAGAAGGTAAGCCATCTCCCAAAACAGAACTTCGTTCTCCCAAAGATGTCACAACCTTTTAGCTGAGCTTCCAATTCATCATGTATGTATCACATATCAATATCATTATTTAAAAAAAAAGTCTCTGCCTTAAAGCATGAAATACAAAGAAACAACTAAGCAGCTCCAGGAGTACAGGAAAGCCTGCAGTCTGACCAGGACAGGGCATAAGTTTAACTGTAGCCTACAAAACACAGTTTTGCTGCTTCCGGAGAAGCAGATAGAGTTCTAATAGCAACAACTCCCTGTAAAGATTTTGAAAGAACTGCTGTGAAAAATAAATAGAGCATATGAAAGTATGAGTATGTAAGATACATGTGGCATCCAAATGTTTTCCTCGTTACCTTGACACAAAAGGGAAACACAACTTCTGTTACCCTGTTCTACACAAGCCTCCCACTTATGAGGCAACTTCTGTGGCAGTCCTTTAGCCCTTAAGTATCTAAAGACTGAGAGCAATTTAGCTGCTGCACAGGGTTGGGAAAAAGGCACAAGGTTCTCCTATCTTTTGCTGATGACAGTTTCAATACTCCTTCAAGTCTGCATTGTTTATTATCAAATTATCCTTATGTAGAAACTGGACACAATGCAAGCTCATACCTGTTTGAAAAACAAGTTCTTTTCCTCCTACACCTGCTGCCTCCAGGTTAATAAAAGCTCTGATTGATTTGGCCCACTCATGTTGTGTAATGAAGCCATGACTAGCCTTGATGGGAAAACAAAATAAAAAAAGGTCAAATATCTACCAGACCAGCTTAAACATTATTTTCCATCACTCAAGATTGGATATGACTGAGACATAACTCAAGATTTGACAAGGCAGACAACACAAGCAAATGCAGAAAATCCAAGTCTTCTAATTAAATTAATGTAGACAACATTCTTAATCAAACTGTACTTTTCCCTTTGAAATCATACACATTTTCCTGAGAATGTTAAGACTGTTATTAACTAATATTTCAACAGACCAAACACAAGCCTTATCTGCAGTTACTCTTTTCTTTGTTAAGAGTTTTAATACACAGTTTTTATGTATAATTTTAAATTCTGACATATTCTCACCTGCAAAATATTTTCTTCTGCACCATTAAATAAGAATATGACAGCATGCTGCAGGGACTCTGATGATTTTGAAAGTGTGTTAAGTATTTCAAGCATCACTGCACAGCTAACAGCATCATCACTGGCACCTTAAAATAATCACCAAAATAGTAAGGCTTATAACAAACAGACTTGCATCAAAAACAAGAGAAGATAAAAGCTTTATGCTATTTCAGTCATTTAATTTAACTGCAGTATAATTATATCAAGTTTTGTGTATTTTCTGGTAGTGCTTGTATCCTCTGTTTATACTAATTGAAAGTAACAGCAGAAAGAAAAATAATGTTCAGAAGTTGAGCAAGTGAAGTTCAAAATATCAGATCCAATGCTACTGTTCAAGAAAAGTAGACTAATCAGGTTACTGGATAGTGAGCAAAGTGATTGTTACTTATTTTCCTAAGAATAATATGAATAAACAAGAACGTAATTTTCACTAACAGGATACTCAAACTTTAAAAAACAAACATTCCCACACAAGTCACCCTAAAGCATTCTACACTGTTACAATGCATTCAAGTAAGAGGACAAAATCTCAAAGTAACATAAAGCTAAGATTTCAAAATAGAGCTAAGGAAATACAAGACTTTACAACTTTAAAAATCTCCTTAAGTTATACATGATAATAAAGGATTTTCATGACCAGATGCTTTTCGTCACCCTTCTTTCTTTGCAGAAACCCCTTTCACTCTGAGCTCAGTAGTCTGTTCTCTGTGATTTCCTTATCTAACACTACTCTAGACTTACTCTCACTCTCTCACATGTCCTCCCATGCATGCCCTGCCATTTTTTTTTAATCTTGATTCAGGATTCACCTTTTAGCCAAAGTCTCCCATTTTCCCTCTTCCCTCACTTTGGTGCAAGTTGTAGCACACCTCTACCCCACTCTAAAAAATAAAATCTGTGAGAAAACAGAGAAATTAAACCTCATTCCTTCAGGACTGGGTTGCATATGTGATGCTGGCATGCTCTGAGATGATGACAACAGTGTGGTTATGCCTCAGTATGCTATTAGGGCACACTCATTAGCTGCTAAAAATGTTCAATTTACACATTAAAAAAGGCAAAAAAAAGCAAAAAAAGCACCTTCAACAAAGCTTGTAAAAACTTCGACACCTTTACCCCTTATTTGAAAAGGGTATATTCCTGATAAAAACATAAATCTCAGTTTAAATTTTAGCCTGAGCTTACTGCATGGATTAAAAAAATTCAGAATTTTTCCAATACACCATTCTCTATTTCTCAGAAATTAATGCCTTGTTCTGCCAAAAGCTTTCCAAAAAGACTCCCATCCAAATACCTGGTTATCACAAATTTTCCCTAATTCCACAGAATATTCTCAGTTGGAGGGGACCTATATATTGCTACCCAAGTTTATCAGTAGTCTGCTCTTAGTAGCGTTCTTATACCTAACATACTGTATTGAAAACTTGGCAGAGAATTGAGTATAGTTTCCAGTGAGATTAATCATTTACCTGTTTCACTGTGAAGTTAAGAAAAATAAAAGTTGCTGGCTTCAACAGACATACAAATTTATGTCTCACAAAAACAGCCATGTAGCCACAGACTATTACACACAAACTCATGGAGAAAGTATCATCTCCAAATACTTTGTATATAGCGAAACTGACAGGAGGTTAAAACAGGTTTTATGGAAAAAATCAGCAACTTGGGAAAACCACGTCATCAATTACGTCTGGAATGATAATTTCAAGGATGTTTCTGTCTTCAAGTTTATTAAAAAAGAAACAAATAGCCCATATAAACTGAAAATTAGTACCATTAGAACAAAGACATGTTTTAGAACTTTACGGTTATGTTTTTCCTTCTCAAGGAACACAAGCTTTCTAATACTGATGGTTTACTAGAGTTTTGCTTCACTCATTTTGTATGCAGCAGATTGTATTTCATGATCTGATTTTCAAATATATTATTAACTGACCATTAAGTAATGCTGATTCTGGTTAAAAATCCACAGTTTTGGTAATGAAAAATGGCCTCTACGCAAATAACTGAGAAAACACAGAAGAATAGAAAGCAAATAGAAAATAACAGAATATCTTGCTTAGGTTATGTGTGAGGGACACAGTAAGAAAATCAAAGACAGAGCAGCTCCTCACTGATGCAAAGGGCTAGGCTGCTTTGTGATTAAGGGCAAGCATACAGGTTGGTTCCTAGCTCCTCCACAGACTTCTTATATCCTATACAAATCAGTAATATTTTTTGGCACTTTTGTGCAAGGTTGGTGAAGTACTTTACTGTCTGAGTAACTGTCAAGAAAATAATTGATGTAGACATAATCCTGTCTTACAACCCATAGGAATGGACACACAATGTACATAGGGCATGAATTTAAAGACCGTTTTCAATAATCATAGTACTATACTGGTGAAATATTCTTTCCAAGTCCCAGAGGACATATATAGACCACACATACAGTAATTAGCATCTCTGCAGTTTCTAAATCACAGAGCATCTATAATAATCATGCAGTTATTAAGCTTAATTTGGAAACGCATGTCACCCAAATGTGGTTGAGGAGAAAGAGAAGTTCTGTATATTATTTGTTGAAAGAAAAAAATGCAGGAGGAGAACAGCAAATGCTTTGTTTCTCTAGCTGATACTCAACTGTTTTCTCAATAATGAAGACTACTCACATGTGCTAAAGTGCAGAAGGTTTACACCCCAAAAATAAAATATTGTGTGGGGTATAAATTGAGAAACTCCAGTAAAAGCTGCACTGTTGATGAGTGAGATCTGTTGGTTTTTTTCAACTGTAATAGCCACACATGCATGGCTGAGTGTTACAACAAATCTGTGCAATCTTTAGACCTCTACCTTTCTGGCACTGTTAAAAGCACGAACGCACAAAATTGGCTACACCCTTGCTGAAATAATTATTCAACAGGATTATAATTTGTAATAATGTAGAGGAAGGAGAGTAAGAGAGGATGCAACAGTGACAGTGAAACTAGTAGCAAGAGACATACACACTACCAAGGCAATTAGTATCCTAACCTTTGATCACTACAATCTTTAGAGGCAGAAGCTTTGAATGCAAAAAGAAAAGGAAAAAAATTAAGCATATCAGACAAAAAATCTGAGATACCAGCAATGGGAGGGGAAAACACAGACTTTTTAGTGGGGGTGGACAGAGTCACTGGCACAAAGCATCATGTGAAAGGAAAGACAGGATTAGATCAGTACAGAAGTAAGAAAAGACCTGAATGACAAGGTGGAAGCAGCACATGAACTACATGCATAAGCAGAGAAATCTAAATACAGCATCTCTAATTTGCTGCCTATCAGAAAGTGAGAGTGAAATCCTGAGTTTAACACTAAACAATGAGTCTCACTGAGATCAAGTAGACCAGTTGACACATGCAGTATTGTAATACAGCCACCTGGTGTGAGAAAACCACATGCCAAGCTCTGTGGCTCACGTAACACATGGAAACGCAGAACGAACACGTGGACCTACCCGGGGTATTTGGTACGGAATCAAAGTGGCAATTGGATAATACTGCATGCTCAGCTCCACTTCGAGGTTCCAGCTTCACTATGACATTGGTTATGTTTGCATAGTAACTAGTAAAACCTCCTAAAAAGTCAATGCTGAAGGAGCCTGTGGGCCTCTGTATGTCTACAGATATCTTGTGAGCATCTGTGCTTTCTCTTGCTATTCCCCTAATTTGTTCTAAGAGGTAGTTAACTGCAACAACTTCATTTTCTGGACTTCCAACTGTTCTGGGCCCAATTGCTGTTATGTTGTCAAGGTATTCCCTGTAAGACATAAATTAAAAATTCAGCATCAACAAGTTCAACATTTAGTAAAGTTATCTAAAACTGTAACTTATCTACAACTGTAGCATTTTTGTACATTGTTCTATTTCAAAACTAAAGTAGAAGAGACTAATTAGACAGTAACTAGCCAAGATGTTAAGGATTGCTATGGTAATGGGCATATAGGGCTGATCTTTACTCAGGGCTCCTTATCTTATCTATCATGATGTTAAACCAAATTATTTGTTTTCTAGTTTGAACATATCAATCCAAAAAGAAACAAAAGGGTAAATGAGAAGCCAAAGACTTTAGCGTGGTTTTGCATATGCATACATGCCCTTCCCCGAATGCCCGAACAAGCACGTTTTTGTCAAGACTTACATCTGACATAAATACTCTAATTCTGAAATTCCAGTGTTAGAAAGTTTTACTCTTCCCGACCTCTCCGTGACACAACAACTAAAGATCTGCAAAGCAGCTTTCCCAGAAACCGAGCACTATCCAAGACGAGCAGAACTAGAGTATGGAGGTCCAACTGCTTCACCAGCCCCCGCCAGCACCCTTCTAGGGGCCGAAACCTCCACGATGTCTGTACCCTTCTGCGAGCGCCCAAGTGAGCTCCGCGCTCTCCCGTGGGCAGAGCACGACACGACCGCCCTGACAGGGACCCGCCTCGGCCCCGCCGCCCTCCCTCCCTCCCTCCTCCTCCCGCCGGCTGCCCCGCCGTACCTGGCGCGGGCGGCGCTGAAGTCGCGGGGCCCGGCGGCGGCGGGCGGGCTGCATAGGAGCTGCCGGTGCGACACCTGCGCCAGCGCCCGCAGCGCCAGCAGGTACAGCAGTACCAGCGGCGCCCCCCGCGCCTCGGGCAGCGGCAGCAGCGGCCGCCGCCGCGGCCCGCCCCGCTTCTTGCCGCCCGCGCCGCGCTCCCCGTCCTCCCGCGGCGGCGGCTGGCGGCGGTCGCGCTGCGCGGCCGTGGCGCGGGAGCCGCCACACGGCCGTGTCCCCGCTGCGCTCCATGGCCGCTCTGGCCGCCGCGCAGCCGCGCCGGACGGGCACGGCACGGGGTCAAACCTGGCCCGGCCCCCGCCCGGCCTGGCCCGGCCCGGCGGGGCGGCCCCCGCGCTCACGTGGGTGCGGGCCGTGGCACCGCCCGCCCTGCGGCCCGGACGGCAGCCGGAGCGGCGCTGCTTTCGCCGTGCGGGCGGGGCTGCCGGAGCGTCACACGGCAACGGGTCGGGCCAGGCTGGAAGGGAGCAGAGTGGGTCATCTGCTCCAACCTCCCTGCTCCAGCAGGGTCATCCCAGAGCACGTGGCACAGGATTGTCTCCAGGGGGTTCTGGAACATCTCCGATGGAGGGAGACTCCACAACCTGTCTGGGCAATCTGTTCCAGTGCCCACTCACCGACAAAGTAAAGAAGTTCTTCCTTATATTCAAGTGGAACTTCCTGTGCATTAGTTTCTGCCCATTGCCTCATGTCTTATTGCTTGGCACCACCGAGAAGAACCTGGATCTAGCCTCTTGACGCTCTCCTTTCAGAGAGTTACAGTAACTGACGACGTCCTCTCTCAGCCATTTCTTCTCAAGGATGAACTGGCCCAGCTCCCTCAGCCTTTCCTGGTGAGACAGATGTTCAGTCCTTCAGTCATCCTTGTCGCTCTCCACTGGACCCACTCCCAGAGCTCCACATTTCATTCTTAGGAGCCCAGGTCTTGACACAGCCAGTGTAACGTGGGCCTGTGTACGGTGACACACCACAGCTGAGAAGCCCTCAGTGGCAGTTGTCTGTGGAGGGTGATGGCCTGGCAGCAGTGGAGCCCTGAGCTCTCTGTCCCACCAAAGCACTGGGATGAGCAGCCACCTGGCCCTGCAAAGCATGCAAGGCTTTTCCTGGTTTCACAGCTTTTTTTGGCTGGTTTTTTTTTGTTTGTTTGGTTTGGTTTGGTTTTTGGTTGGTTTGTTTTGTTTATTGTTTACTTGTTTTGGTTTTTGTTACAACAGAAAGGAAAGTTCACAAAAGTAGCAGTGATGCCAAGAGGGTGAGCAACAGACTGCCACAGGCCAGCACACCAGGTGGGAGGGATGGTGAAGCCTCACAGACGTGAAGTCACAGCACTGGCAGTGCTCACAGAGTTTCCCCCTCCACTGCATTGTATCTTTGGCATTTCATAGCTATAGCACTCCCCAGAATGGATCTCAGGCAGCCTAGGGTGAAGGGCAATAGCTCCAGGAGGTGCTTCCAGTGAGCTCATGGCAGGTAGAGCACCTGGGAGGATGGGGGCCCAAGCTGTGACACAGATCACTGTACATTGCATTCTGCACTCTGGGGGTGCACGCTGCTGCCTGTTCTCACAGTGCCTCTGAAGGACAGAACAGAGCTGTTTGGTGGTCATTTTTCCTATCTTTATCATACTGCTTTGCAACGTATTTCACTACGCCTGAAGATATCCTAAAAGATACTTATTTCTTGTTGCTCTGTGACATAATTAGAAATTACGAAATATGTAATGACACGATCCAGAGAAATGGCTGTTCCAGTAAATCCAGTGAAGTAGATAAACACAGAACATTACTGCTTTCTAGCCTGCCCCTGTGTTGCCAATGAAAGCTCGCAGGAGTTGCAATACTCTTTGGAATGAAAAAGTCTGAAAGAGTGGTACACTGAAATGTGGTGACTCTTTGCACACCTCAGGTGCTTTAGTAAATTTCCATGCTCAGGCTTAGTGAGTTTTCTCATTTGCTTCACTCACCCTCAGTACAGACAAGATTATTGCTGACAATGTATGATTTACAACTCCAGATTATGCTATGATCCTGAAACATAGATCTAGCCAGAGAGATTTGGTTTATTCTGTTTTGTTTAGTTTTTCTTCCTCTCTGCTTTTGCTTCACTTACCTATGTTACTTCTCTCTTCACAAGCAGACAAACATACCTTCAGATTAGGTTCTCAAAAATAGATTTTACATTAGAAACTAATATAAAAAAATTATTTTTAAATCTTTTCTTAAAACTACAAGTGCATAATTACTCCAGAAAAATGCTTGCAACACAAATAACTAAAAAAAAGAAGTCAAATGTAACCCCCTCAAATGTAATGGAGTGGAAACTGCCTTTTGAAAATGTCATATTAATAATATGCAGCATGTTTAAAGTAGTATTACTAATATACATAAGAAAATACATTTTTAAAGAAAGATGTGGCCTGATATTGAGTGTAGATCTCTATTTCTCCTTTGAAATTCTTCTTAGGTTTGAAGTTGTATAGAGAAGGCAATCAAAGAATCAAATATGGACTTTCATGTTTGATTTCTAGTATCATATCAATGCTAATTTTCTGGGGGCCACCACTCCTGAAAGACTCACCTAAGCAGCTTTATGCAGGGGCATTTGCTCTCCAGCAATGCATATTGCTACATGTCAGTTTGATTATGCCTACATTGTTGATCTGAAGGAAAACGCACAACTTGAGAAAAAATAGGAGCTACACATCATTTATTTCCTTTGGCTCTATGCTTACTTGAGGATTGGAACTGTAGAATAATTCCATCCTTTTCTTAGTGGTCTTTTTCCTTTAACTCTTTGGGCAGCATTTGAACATTAAACCTCCCCTCAGGTAAGACAAAGACATGACTATACTGACAGTCATACTCTACAGGTCAAAACAACTTTTAATATTCTGTCAACTCAAAATTCAGAAGTAATTTTCTGCTTTAGATCAGAAAGACTTCTGATGTTTGTAATACCGACAGCCCTTTTATCATCTGTTCTGAGCACAGCATTTGGGAGGGCACTGTGTGATATGAATTAAGCTGGAATTATAGTGCATACACGTTTTGACATGACTGGGACATCAGGGTCAAATACGTCAACACAGTGCCCTTTATTGCTCTGTTAGTCTGGAATGACCAATTTAAGATAATTGGATCTAATTTTCAAACAAATTATTCAGCATAAATTCAGTTTGACTTTATGTCAAAAAGACTGATGCTTAGCCTAGTATCTTGCAATCCAAGCTGGTTCATTTTGTCAGCTCACAAAAGAGGAAAATCCCTTGTTCACTGAGCATAAATTATACTTGTAAACTTTATTTTAAGCAGAAAAAGTAAAAAGGCAATTCCTCATCCACAGGAACTATGGGGCCTGGTTTGTTTTCTAATTTAGTAGCAAAATCAAGTTAAGTGATTGCATGTTAATGTTCTTGCCTAACAGAAAAATACAAATATGTTTATATGTTAAAACCACCATCAGCTATTTAGGGTAAGAACTAGAACAATGTCTTCAGAAAGCATTTAGTTTTTATTAAAAATAAACAGTGATGAAGCATGCACCAAATAATGTAAATTTTTGCCATTCAAATTGTTCTTGTTCAGATTTGACTTATTTATGGTACTAATTTCATAGCCTCAGTTTTCCATCCATTGAATCCTCTTACATCACTGACTGATAAATTGAAAATCCCTTTGTTAGAAGATTTCTGATCTGGTGTAGGTATTAATACATCGTGATCAAGCCTGCTCTTACATTCATCTTCAAGCTTGACCTTTATAAACTGCTACTTTTCCAGTCCTTTCATCCTCCTAATAACAATTATGATGATTTCTAGTTTTTCTGTCACTCTTCTGCATTGCTAAAGCAAAATGACATGTGGTATCCCAGTGTCTGCACCAGTACCAAATACAAAGGTAAAATAATTGCTACCCTGCAGGGAGGTAGAGCTATTTGTTTCCTTTAACATAAGCATGGTGCTACAGCTTTGAAGCAACAGTTCTCTCCAGCTCTCTCTGGAATCTTTCTGTCAGTGCAGCATGTCCAGCCACCCATTCAGTGGCCCATAGCTTCACTAATAGACAAGCTCTTGGTGAAATTTGTATTTAGCAGGAAGCAAGAAACCCTGTGAAGAGAAGAAACCAGATTTTACATCCTGAATTTCCAGGGCCTACTGTATCAGTCTGTCCTATGAACACTTTGAAAAATTTTGCCTCCCTGCACCGAAGGTGGTGTTGGACCACTGAGCATCTGAGATCTTCACTCCTCCCTCAGGCACAGATCTATCATCTCTTCAGTCATACACCCATCAGTCACTTCACTCTGATAGCCACAGTATTGTAACTGGAAGCTCATATTGAACCTATTTTCTACCCCACCTTCAAGGTGGGTTTTTTTTGTAATTACTACCAACAGTCCAGTTCCCATCCCTTAACTGTGGCCTGGCTCTCATTCTGTCTACTACAAGCTTGAAAACATTTGCCTTGAAAACTTGGTAAGCACTCAGTATTGCTCTGAGTCAACAGGTATTCTTCATTATCTGTCACTATCCTAAGTCCTAGAAATGAAACCAGGAGGAATACTGTAAGACCTCAGTGCAAGAATCCACTGTTATAAAAATACAGCACAGCCTTGTATAGCCTGTGTTCAGTTCAGATACAAGCAGCTGTTCACTTGGAGAACTCTTCTGTGCAGCCACACTTCACATTATCACACAAGTTTGCGTTTCTTCTTGGACTTTATTACTTCACTTTATTCTAACTCCACAATGCAGCATCTGGCTGTATTGTGGCACTGCGTGTGGTAGTCTAGAGTAACAAAACAGCATAGGGAGTCTGTGCTTGTATCCCTTGATGTCTGTGCTCTCAGCTGAATCCTTGTAAAAATCCTTCCCAGACATCAACCACAGGACATTTAGAACTTATTTAGCCAAACACATCCATCTCTTACCTAAGGTACAAGGACAGGAAATGCCTCATTGACACTCCAGACATAACCAAAAATTGGGTATTTTCACCTTCATCCTGTAATTAAAGCAGAATGATTAAACCCTGGTCACTCGTTTCAGAACAGGAAGTGGAAGAAGAGCCACCCACAGATTCTAGATTGATAGGGCACAGAGAGACTGTTTGCATCAGCACTGTACTTAACCATGTTGTTTTGATAAGCTTAAGCAGTGCTTTTCCCTCTTCCCTGTTCAGCAATACTAATTTTCTGTGCTCCCTCTTCTTCTGACCTTGTTGTTTTGTATTGGGAGCTATAAACACAACCAAGAGTTACACAGAAAATATAAATTGATTATTTCTTGTCAAAAAACAAAACAACCTACCTTTGTTCAGATAGACATACCCTGACTTCCCAGCCAACTCAGGCTCTATGTCACCCTTTTTCCTGTGAATGCTCTGCCTGCTTTCCATGCCAGCTCAGCACTCCCTTTGTTATTAAAGGGAGGTCTGGGATTGATGTTAACCTGGAGAGGGGTAGGGAGGCAGTCAGCACACCTTACTGTGATTTCAGGACAGAAGGTTTTTTCTTCATTTGCCCTCAGCCTAGAAAGGTTCAGTCAAGCTTAAACTAATAAGAATTTGTTAAACTGATAATAGGATAACCAGAACACAGTCCAAATATAAGCCATTTATTCTCCTTTATCTATTAAATATCTCACTTTTTGCAGTCTGACAGCTTCTGCCAGATCATAATCACTCACTCACTTGATTGCTACCTCTTTCTGCTCTTTAGCCCTTCTGATATCTGCAAGCTATCACCACCAGGTATCATATTTCCACAAAACACAAGCAAAGAATCACCTCCTTCATCAGCCTGACTTTATGCAACTGAACCACCATTCTGGTTCTCCTTTTCTAATCACATCAAGATTAATCTCTTTTTTTTTCTGCAAGACCTCAAGTCCCTCCACACTCACCCACATTTCTTACCCAAGTTTGTTTAGCATGCCATGTTAGCTATTTTGGCAGTTATGTCAGCCTGCTTACTTTTTTTCATAATAGTTTCACAATCCTTTCCCATTCTATCTCTCCTGCACACATTCCCTGGACAATTCATGTTCAGGCTAACCATATTACATCAAAACAGTAATTTTGTTTCAGTCATTTTGATCAATGTTCTCTTAGTTGGCAAATCCTGTTACCTGGCAAATTTTATCTTGCCTTACTATCTGTTTATTAATGCTGTCAGAAGGCTTTGGTCAGTAAAAAAAAGAGAAGGATGTATGTGATAAGAGCTGGTAGTTCCAGGTAGGGGGATAAGCATGATCACCACCAAGGACTGATGAATGCGGGAGGCATGGTTTCGTAAGCTCTTTGTCCTTCCATTTCAGCACAGATGACTGCAAGGAGACTTTGCCAGGTTTATGTGTGTGTTTATGCCAGACTGGCTTTTTACATTTGTGCAGTATATTTAAATAAGGACTATACTTCAGAGGCTTGTTTCCCATATTTTATGTATACTACAATAATAATAATAACCAGGTAATAGATAGATATATTGTATCTTCTTCAAAAGCAGCCCTATTCCAAATGGAAATCAGTCAAGAAGCTCTTTGATGGTGAAAGGGGTGAAATAATTTTGAAGTCTGTGGAGCTGAAATAATTTACAGCAGCAGAGAACACAATCACTAATTTCAGTTTTGATAATATTGAGAAAAAGGCATTTCAAAAACACACATATAGTCAGCTTCTTTTTAAACCATTGCCAATTTTGTTCTACACGCCTAATAGTAAAAGTCTTTTGCTTTCCATTAAGTGGCACAGGGAAACAACAAAGGCTCAAAGTCATAAGATACAGCAAGGAAGATTCAATCTGAATATTAGGGGGGAAAAAAAATCACAGTGAGAGTGGTACAACACTGGGGCCCAGGTTACCCACAGAGGCTTCAGCTCTGCTACGACCAACAAAATCCATTTGGATTGCTGTTTGCTCTATCTAGTTTACATCTCTAGCTGTGTAAGAAATGTAGTCTTGTTTATCATGATCACTGTCCTATGCATATCTGTGTGGACAATATAGCCTAGTTGTCATCCATCTCTGCAGATACAATTGCTACAGACAGATGCAGTGTGGCAACATAGCACATAACTCTCTACAGTGTGTGAGGAAGGAAGAACAAAGACCCAAGAGGTGTAATGCTGAGAAGTTACTCTGACACAATTCAGCTACTGTTCCTCATTGGCACCACTGGAGTCACCTACCTTTCCTTTTCTATAAGGGAGAGTTTCTAGGCTGACAGCTTCACCGCACACGTGGATACAGTAATTGTATACAGCTGCCATGTGAATTTCTCCTCTGGATTAAGCACTCTCATCTGCCAAGTTTCCTTCCTGGCCACATTTTTCTGCCTTCTGCATTGTGAAAGCACACAATGCATTTCTCCACACTGAGAAACTGCCCCAGGGTAGTGACCAGCAGGGTCAGTTCACCACTCTGGTTCACTGTATGAAAGCCCACATGGTAGCAGGAAGGTGAAGTAGGAGTGCCAGCAACTTTTCTATCAGCAGTGTACACTTCATACACACAGACAACTACCCCATAATTTTAATTTTCCATGCTTTCGACTCCTCCAGCCCTACAAAACAGTTCTGGAGAATTCTTCCAGTGAAAGAAAATTAGAATGTCACCACACAAACTTTCTGACTTCCCCTTTCAAATATGCAAAAATATGAAATATATCTGCTTCTTAGTTATGCAGGTCAACTGACTGTGTATTTATACTTCCCCTTAGCACACACAAACTCCACAGATTACTGATCAAGTCATGAAGTAAGCACACAAACCTGTAAATAAAAAGATTACAATAACTGAGAAGCTACTGCAACAACCCACCCTGCCCCCCACGAGTACTACAATAGCAGGCTATAGCCACCACAACCTTAGTGCAAGGCAAATTGGTGGGAAGCAGAATCAGTTACAATAAACAAGCAATGAGAGCAGGGAGAGAAAAGCTTTACGAGATCCAGCAGTATGTAAGGAATTGTGGGCCCTTAAATTACACAACAAAGGGACTGCTCTGGTTTGATGAAGGGTTCTGAACATGTATGTTCAGACTTGGGTCCTGGAGAGCCTATTCAAGCTTTCTGTAATTTCTGTAGCTGCTGCAGGCTATGTGATGCTCAGCTGTAGCCAACATCTGCCCAACAGCACAACCATACAGACGCCACAAATGAATTTCAAATTTAAATAAACACTGGCAGTAAATGCCACAGAACAACAGGGAGATTGAAGTCAGATGACACATCTGAACTTTGGGGTTGGTCCAGTAGTTGAGCTCAATAAAAACTATGGACAGCAGTCCAAGACTAGTACAAGTACAGTGCAGATATATTACAAAATTTGCCTTCCTCCTCTTGTTTCCTCCATACACTCCTGATTTTTATTTCTCTGATCTTTACTCAGGACAGAACTTTGTTTTTCTGAGTGTAGGTGGAGTCAAATGACTTTTGAGGAGGGGAGGAGGGTATTCGTATAAAATCCTGATGGCTTACACATCCTGAATGAGACAGATTGGTTTATTCAGATAGCCAGATGGTAGTTCAGATGAGAAAGATGACCTGGTGGTTCGTAGTACAACTCAAGAACTTACATACAACTGGAAGGTGAAGGAAGGTGAAAGAAGAGCCTCATATATCCTACAAGCCTTGGTTACCTGAATAAGGTAATTTCTTGATACTATGTTTGATTTTTGTTACTTCAAACTGATTGCTCAGGGCATTCAGCCTCTCTTTCCCCTGATATGTTCTGTCAATAAACTGTGTTATAGATCATATGCATTAGACTGACTCCTTCTAAAATGATGTTATGAAGTTAGAAAGGAGAATTTAATTAAGAGTTCCTCCCGAATTTGTATCTCAATTGCAGTAACTAGCACAGCTCTATTGTATTTGAAGCTGTAGTGGCCAGTGAGCATCTGCAGAGCCAGTCTGACTCTTAAGAAGACCATAAGTTGTGTGACAAACACAGTAAGTACCTGTTCCTTGCCTGTGTAAAAGGCACATGTGTGGAGGATGTTTCGCATAATTTACAATTGACTTCCTTATTTCTTTCTTCTAATACAACAATTATGACAAGGTTATATTCGTTGATCTGCTGTCAATTTATTAAAGACCTACTTTGTATTTGGTTTTACAGTAATTCCTGTTTCAAGGTATCAGCTTTTGGTAAAAGTAGTTGTGCCGCTGTGTTTTTCTTCCTTTTCTCTTTTTTTTGCTAAGTCCGAATCAAAGGTAGAGTACAATACTTGTACTGGAAACTCAAATCAAACCCCCACTAACAAATCACGTTTCTTCATCTAAGTGTGGAAAAACTTAATGCTTGCCTTTTTTGTCTTCCTGGGGAACCTGTTTCTGTAAATTATCACCAGCTTACAAGGAGTCCACTCAGCCTTTAAGAGAGAGTGAATACAGTCATCTGGCATGTTTTATATATGAGTTGCATGAAAACAAGAAGATTAGGATTCATACTAACAACAGTCTTTTCTTGATTCCATGACTGAGTTGTTCTGCAATGTACAGCAAATGTATTCAACTCCTTTTCTGTTTTGTAAAAAGTGAATTAGGACATGGAACAAGATAACCAGGTAAAACAAGTATCAGTCTTCACAAGTTTATGTGGCACCCTCAAATGCAAGCAGTCAGATAAGCATTTTATAATTTATTTTTATTATTGTTTGATAAGCCTTCTGAGTCAATGACATGAATAAAAGCAGAAATAGCTTGATGAACTTGTAGAGCATGAATAGAAGAACACCTGCAGTGCCTCAGAAAGTGCCTCTCTATCCAGCTGCAATGATAAAGGTTGCACTCCTGCCTGTGTGTTCTTGCTGGCAAATTTTGCTGTAAGGATAATGATACTACCAGCAGAACTGTTTGCTCCTGCTGATGAGCATACCAAGAACAGATGACAAGCATTGTGGCTTTCCTGATTGAAGACCCTGTCTCACAGGGTATCCACTCCAGCTCCATGAGAAGTCTTGGAGGTAGGAGTTAGTGGGATGCCAAACAGTGCTGATTCTTCCAGACATGGCTTTACATTCTTTGAGGAATCTTGTGTGTTGGCCAGGCACAACAGAAAGAGGACTTTCCCTTCAGATTTTCTTTTAAAAGGCTAGTTTCAGGGAGAAGATGAGAAACTGAAGATATAAAACCTTACTGTTTACCATTACTCAATAGCTAAGAGCAAAATGAAATCCTGTGTGAGTTTTTTCCGCTTAGGTTTTTTGGAACTACATCATAAACTACTACATAAATTTTCTCTTGCAAGTGAAGGAGGAAAAAAGCAAAGCATGTGTCTGAAGCATGTTCACCCATTGCAACATCTATGCTTTCTTCCACTCTGTTCAGGCATTCCAACCATTCCCAACAATATGTAGCTGCACTGCTTTTAAATCCATAGGGCTGCTGGGAGATAACTACATTAATCATGCAACTGAAACAGTAATTTCATTTGGAGTTACATATACCACTGTGATTATTAAAAGGGACTCTGAAGGCTGAATCCTGAGCTGTGACATTAAAGATGTATTTGTAGTAAGGAAAAATGCTGTTCACTTAAGTTTTGTAAGCAGTAGGGCCTGATTTATATTCCTCCTGGAGCAGAGTTTGCCTAATGAAGGTGAAGGGTGCTGGGTGGTGTCAGGAAGTAATAGATTTTATCATGCCTGTTTTAGTCTGGGTGCTGCCTGGTAAGTAGCAGGATTTCTCCTATCTGTCTTGTGGCACAAATCATAATCCCTTGCCCAGGCATGCCCATGCAGAATGCAGAAACATCAGTATCACTCTGCCTAGGCAGGCTCATTTAGCTTAAGTCTTGCATCTTTTTTACGTTCTTCAGGGCCTCAAGCAAAATTATGACTATGGTACTTGAACTTAATAATATCAGAAGACATGGCTACAGCTTGATCCAGATTCTGTATTTTCTTATAGGATCTGAGCATTAATATGAGTATTAACATTTTTAACCTTACAAAATTTATGACCTTTGAAAGTATTAGCTGCATTTGCCAACCAAGAAAAAAGGCACAGCAAGATCAAACAACTTGCTTAAGGTCGCCCAGAAACTGTGGGAATGAAAACCAGTTTCCTTCATACAGATCTTAACCACAAGGCAGTCCTCCCTCTCTTGTGGCTGTTCTAAGATTTTTTCAGGATGTTGTCTGTGTTATTGTGCAACTGATTAATCTATCTGGCTACCTATGTTCTGCAAATGTATCCAGTGTCACATGTTAGTCCAAACAGGTCAACAGAATGATTTTGGTTCTGATACCTGCAAGGCTCTGATGGCTTCTTTCCCTGACCCTGCTGAAGTGATTTAGGTCCTCCTGAGATCATATGCCTCAGTGAAGCAAATCACAGGACTAGTGACTGCTGCTTTGTACTGATTAATTTCTACTGGTATGGATTTCCTTAACGCTCATTTTTCCCAGCTGCACACAGGGAAGGTAATTTTAAGTATAGTACATCTGGCGGAGCCCCTGGTGGTCTAGTGGTTAAGGGCGTGGCGCTGTCACCGCCGAGGCCCGGGTTCGATTCCCGGTCAGGGCCACTCCCGGGCAGGTGGGGCTCGTTAGCCCTTAAAGGCAACCCATCTACATCCTAAGGACCTCGCTGCCACCGTCCAAGCTCGCTTGGCCCCGGCAGATGAACCTTAGGATTAAAGGGTGGGCTTAGTTCTGCGCACACTGTGTCTCACCTAAAAAATCCAATGCGCAGGCTGGAAGGTGTAAAGACCTTCCCCGGATCTTCACTCGTGAAGACTGGCCATTATATTATATATATTATATTATATTACATCTGGCTATCCTAAGCTCCCATTCTCCCTCCAAGAGAGGAGTGTCATGTCCTCATTGGTCTTCTGCATTTGGTACAATATGCCTGCTCAGAATTTAGTGTCCATGAAGAAACCAGAAAAATGTATGAATTTTCCCCTCCCTCAGCCAGATCCTGTGTCCACCACACACTGTATGATTACTCCAAGTTTGTCACAACTTTCTAAGGGGAAATACGCTTCTTTAATTATGTGTTTAATAAGATGTTCTTGCCTATTAAGATGCCTTCAAAAGGAAGCACGTGCCCCATTTTGGCAAAAATGCTTGGCGGTGCAGGAGCCAATAATGTTTATAAATGTTAAAATGTCAAGGACCCTAAAATTCTTACGAAGCATTCCTTGCAAGTCAGTCACAGCTATATCGGTTCAGGCCAAAAGGGGATCTTTAAGATTAAGAATAGACTAAGCATAAAGTGGTACTTCCCAAATTTGGACTAGCTGCAGCTTGGATGCTTTCTGAGTCAGGGGCCATTTTAAAACATTTGTTAATCCTCGATAGTTTTGTACAGCAAGGATTTATCTAATATTGCCATGTGAAGTTCAAGTATCCACAGTCTTACGTGGCAGGAAGCTCCAAAGTCTTACAGCGTGCAGCTAATCCTCAGATGTCCAGTACCATACCTCATTCTGGTTCCCTGATTCACTCCTCAGAGAGAACAGTAACATCCAGTTTCATGCTGAGTGCCATTTCTGAGATAACACACATCCTTCTTACGCAGGGAGAAGACCTGTTGCCACTGGAATTACTGAGATAACATTGTAATGGTTCTGAATTAGAGATTTGCTTACAACAGCAAGAATTTTTAGGTTTATATGTTCCCGCTCTTTAGTCAAAGTTACAACTTCACATGGGATTTTTAGTGACAAAGCACAAACAATAAAAACCAGGTTTGCAGTATTCCTGGAACTTATGCAATGATTAAAATATGGAAAGTGTCAAGATTGATAGAATCCCATAGTGAATACCTTCAACTGGAATTCTTTTGGTTTTAAATGTCATTTTGATATTTGCCAAATGGAAAGCAAAGTATTTCTCTGAGATGCTGCCATTTCAGGAATGGAAAGTCCACTAAATTCAGACTTCCAGATAAGTGAAGTAGCTTCCATTTATTTCCATTTATGTGGATACCCAGAATATTGAAAAAGACTGATTTCCTGTCCTTTTAAGGTTCAGAATATTTTCTTTTTTTCTATATCGTCTTCTGTCACACTAGTAATACCACTCATAGAAGCAACTTAGCAAATATAATAGTGATTTATCTATACACACAAAATTATGACAAGAGGCTGATGGGTACAAACAATTGCCTTGATGGTTTTACAATTCATTACATTGATTGCAATGCCCAGAGAATGTTAGGAAGTATGGTAACCTATAAGGCATTTTATTTTCTGTTTACTATAATGTATTAATTTGAATAGTTACTATAAACGTATTAGTTTGAAAAACATGTGGGATAAGGTTCTTGAAGTTACTTGAAGAAAGGGTAGGATCCTGGGCCTGTATTTGCAAATTTGCATATCTGCATCTTTTCCCATAGTCTTCTCTCCTATGTTCACATATGCATGCTCCTTTTTCTTTTTCCTGTACTCCGTACCTGAATATTTTTCCTTTCTTTTTGTTTTGTTTCACTTTCTTCACTCAGTCTTCTGTCTTCTGGGGCATCAGTTCCTCAGGTAATACTTTCAGTCAAACCGCTGTAATGCATATTGTATTTTAATTTGGTAAGTAATTTGTGTAAGCCATTCCTAGAATATTTTAATTAATTTCTTTAACAATGGGCCTTCTACCAATTTGCAGATCTGTTAAAAATCCTCATCACCATCACTACCACTGCAGGAAAAAAAACCCAAAACCCAACCCAAAGCCCAGAGAAGATCCGAGAATTAGAAAAGATGCAGGCTAAAGACAGCAATCCACCAGATGGTGGCTATGGATGGGTTGTGGTAGTGTCAGCCTTCATGGTGATGGGCCTCACTGTTGCTGTTCTCAAGACTTTCGGTCTGTTCTTTGTTGAAATCCAGCAGCACTTTGATGGACTTGCAAGCACCACTTCCTGGATCACATCAGTAACTATTGCCATCTTTCATTTAGGAGGTAGGTAGAAGTGCTCCTCTAGCATTTTATTTTAATGTGTTAACTACCAAAGCAAGTTTTTAAATCTTCCTTAAAAAAACCAAACCAAAAACCTATAAGGACAAGACTTCCTTCTGTCTCTACAGAAAATACAAAAAATTTTCTTACAAAAAATTAGCATTTGCTGTCTCAGATATGGAATTGGTTAATAATGACACTCCAGTGATGCCTTTTAGAAAACACTAGATACACAGCAATCTGACTGCCATAAAGAACTTCATGTACCTGAACTCATGATTCAATTTTGCTACAGGCTTTGAGTTAAACTCATTGGAAGTAATTCTAATAACCACAGAGCTTGTTGAATCAAGCTCCTAAACCAGTTTGTGCAAGTTCAGTGATCTCAGAGTGACTGTCACTTTTTCAAAGTACTTTTAAATTTAAGGACTGCAATCCTGTCTATCATATTAACCATCTGCTACTAAAATGATGATTATCAGTCGTGCCTTCTCACACTTCTCCTTTTCATCTTTGCCAAGATCCCCCTTCTCTGCATGTATTGCCAGTTCTGGCTCTTCTTTAACCCCTTTAGAATGACTGCAAATCATTTATCTAACAGAAAACTCACAGAGCTAAAAAGAAAAAAAAATCAGTTCACTCAGAGAGAGCACAAGAAAGACAAGATCATGCAAGCAGAGAGTATGGGAGGAAAGAGTGAACTATCCCAGTCAAAGCCAATGAGCTATGGGAGCAGGCCAAATACCACATCTCACCAAATGAAGGAGGAAAATAGAAAACATACTGCATTTGACTCAACTTGGTTGTTTAGAGAGTCCTTTGCACCCTTGTAAACTGCATGATACTTCACATGATGATGAAGATTCTAAACATATGCAGGCTTAAAATGGACAGAATTTGTAAAGTCTGTTCCACATATTCTCATATAGATATATGGTTGTAATAGGTAAATATCCTTACATAATAAATACTATCATAATTTTGTTTGTGAAGACAGTTCATTGCATAGACACTATATACTTACATGCATCCTACTCAGTCCACACCTATCAGTGTTACTGCTTGGAATTGCAGTACTTCCAAACATCATGGACAACTAACCTTTCTTTAAAAAATGTATTCAAAAGAATCAAAGAGTAATCCAAAGTCAAAGGATAAAGCAAGTCATGGGTTGAAAAGATTTTATCAGTTCCATAACTGCTATCCTTGATGCCTGTTTTGCAGTGACAGAAATAATTAAAAACCAAAAAACCAAAAACACAACAAACATTGAAAAACTTGCTTCATGAACCACAGAAATGAATAAACCTATCAATCTGGTTTACAAATTATGTATCACTGACCTACTGCGATACTATTTTGTCATTCAGGCATACAAACTTAATGAGAAAAAAACCAGCATAGAAGGATAAAAGAATTTGAAGTCCTGTTTTAATTAGGTTTTGTTTTGGTTTTAACACATCTTTACATTATATAGGAATGAATTAAGGAATAGAGCATATTAATAATATCAAGTATAAACCAGCAAAACTATTTGCCTAGCCAGGTGTGAGGCCAGCCTAGTTCCAAGAAGGCAGCTATAATTTTCAGCACAAACTGTTTTTCATCCTTTGAGATCCTATGAAAATAACCCTCTTTCAATGAATACAGCTCGATGGCCAAATGTTCCAAAGCCCTCTGTATAGCAGTTTATAATGTCTCAGGTCAGTACATAATTGTTCTCATCTTCTTCTGCCTTTGTTTCATTTATAGGGACCAGAAGACTTTCTACCTAAGATCATCTGAACCTCAAGTTCTTTGAGCATCTTTCCTGGCCTGGCTTAGTCTTTCTTAACGTGTTCTTCTGGGTAACCTTCAGTTCATTTGGTTCATGTATGAAGGATGATCATTGAATTATTATTTTTTTTCCTGTTTGGATCCTTTCAACATCAGCTCTGCTTCTTGGATGGAAAGAGAGCATGTGCTTCTGCTCCCAGGGTTTGCACTTGCAACAATAGGCTGTTCAGTTTACCACAGCAAGGGTTCTCCCCATCACATTCACAGGCTTTCTCTTGGTACTCATGTACACCTCCCATCACCTCTCTCTTTGCACTGTGACTATCATCCCTTTTCGTTGCTTGTAAGTTTTCTGTGTGTTACCCTTTATCCTTTCAGACTGTGGAGTTTAGCTATTTTTCTCATTTCCAGTTCTGTGGTTAGCTTCTTTCTTTCTCCTTCTATGCCATATTCAATTTCTGCCTACCTATTCTCCTTTTTCACTATTTAAAATTTGGTTTTTGGTAGTATTTCTGCTTCAACTGCAGATCTTTCTCTTGTCTTTAAACACTTCCATGGAAGTTATCCTGAGTTTATTTTCTCTTTTTTTTTTTTTTTTCATTATAATGTATGAAACTCCAACGGAATATGCTTTATCATGTCTCATCCACTACATCTTGCAGACCATGACTGAATTTTGATATAATTTTTACATGTTTATAAAAGCATCATATTTTTGCTGTAAATGTTGATGAGACATCTGGGGTTTGTATAACTTCTGCCAGGTCTGTCTGCTATCAGACAATGTACATCCTGCACATTTTGCTGCCATTAGTACTCTGCCAGGTTTATTTCATTCATCCTAGCCATCAAATTCTCTTAATTCTGATCCTAATACACTTGAACCTACAATAACCTGCCCCTACAAATTACTATGAAACCTTCCTTGCTGACTGCCCTCTCTTCATTGTCTTCCTACTTATTTCAATTTACAAGCATGGTCCTTGTTAACTGAATTCCAATTCTAGAATATTAATGGATTGAAGGGAGCTGACTGATGCCAGGTGGTACTTGGGAGGCCCCTAGTGGCCACGGCTATTTAAAGAAATCTTACAGCCATCTCTGCCATGCTGATGGAAAAACAGAGAGGCAATGTAATGTCCTTAATTAAGCAAAAATATCCCTGACATTTCAGGTGCTTCCAGATAGTGACTAGAGATCAAAGCATTTGCTGCACTTTTAGATCTGTACCTACTGCATCTTTGCCCTGATGTTGAAGAGTCCCTGCAGTTCGCTGAGAGAAACTGTACCACTACAATAAAGATTTAAGAAATGAACTGCAAATTTTCTGTAAACAGCACTAGCACAAAATAAACACTGATTTTTTTGTCCTTTATAAACTTTTGTAATTCCATAAAGAGATGATTTTGCAAAACTCTGTTATAGAGGACAAAAAGGTTATTTTCCTCCAGGAATTTTCCATGTCAGCCATATCAATAGTAGAGTCTCAGTGATACAATTGAAGTTTCACTTTCTGCTAAAATGCTGCAGTAGTTTCTGTCACGTTGCTAGTTGTATCCTTATATGAAACTCAGTAGAACTGTCCTGCAAGGAAGGCAGTGAAATGCTCCTTCACTTTAAAAAAGACTACCTATTTTGAATATATTTAAAAATCTGAGCCCCAGGGACAGTCATTTCCCTGTCAGTAAGGATCCAATTTTGAAATTTCAATTGATGTCCTGCTCAATCCAGAAGAATTAAGTCTGAGATAAGAGTTATAAGGGTACTTTATTTGAATTATTTGATTATTTGCCCATGTCAATCAGCTTAATGTTCCTACTGTATTTTTCTTCCTTCAATTTTGCTGCTGTTCCAGCCCCTGTTGCCAGTTCATTATGTGTACGATACACCCATCGGGCAGTTGTAATCACTGGAGGACTCCTGGCTTTTTCAGGAATGGCACTGGGATTTTTTGGATTCAACATGGTCTGGATGTATATAACGACTGGCTTCCTACAGGGTATGACTTTACGGCTTTATGGTTTTCTTCCAGCAGCAACTTAGAGCCCTTAGCTGAGGGTACTAGGGGTAGGAATTTTGAAATCTGGTATATATTTCAATTTCATGAGCAGCTAGAACCAACAATGCTCCTAAAAGGTGTCTTCCCTCCTTTCCCACTCTGGGAATAAGAATTTGTGCAGGAAACCTGCAATGATAAAGAAGGTGAATAATTAGATGCTAGTAATTTGCACCCGCAAATTTTATATACACATAGAGAATGAAAAGTGTTTTATTTTTCACTTGGAGACAAGAGCTTTGTGAAGGTTTATAGAACCTTCATAAAGGGTGCTGGAGTACAAGAACAGAGAGATCCCAAATTTTGTACTTTCTATAAAATTATATTATGTTTTGAACAGAGACCCAGACTTTCACTTGATTTCAACCCTTTCCTTTACTCTGGGTGAAAACAGGCCAGAAAGTTGCCTCCAACAGCTAACAGATTTTCCTGGAACAGGAAGCAAAGCAGCTGGCAGGGAATAAAATAAACCATTTCGAATTCCATGCTGGATGCCTGAGAAAATGTCTGGAATCTGAGCCCTTTGGCAGTCCTGGGCTGCCAAATAATCTAGGGAGCCATTAAAATCACACTAAGTCAGAGCAGGTTTGAAGTCTTCTCTAAGCAGTCAGGCAAGAAAATGAAGATCAAATAGAGGTAATACACCAACTTTCTTTGTGTCCTGCCTCACTTGCTACCTTGAGCACAGCTCAGCACAGCTCAGCTTAACTCACCTAGTACCAGCCTTAATTCAGACAGCATGGACACTCAGATCTATCTAGCTTCAACCACATGACCATGTGATTTCTCATGCAGTGCCAAAGCTGTCCAAGCAACTTCTTTTGTTTATTTATTTTAAGTGAGAATGTAATAAGAGAGAACTTCATGATCCTACTTTTTGCTTGAACATATACAACTTACAGAATATGTCACAAGTTTACTCCTATGGGCAGTACAGCTAAGCTCCTGCTTCTGCTAGGAACAAAAATGTTTTCCTTCTACACTTTTAAACTTTGCAAATGTAGGAGCACTGACTGCTTTAATTTCCTTCAGAAAATACTCAACAGTGTCTAACCTGTGCTATTTCTATTGTTTTTCAGGTCTCGGGATTTCCTTTTCATGGACACCAGCCATTAGCATTGTTAGCCATTATTTCTCCAAGAAAAGGGCTTTGGCCAATGCTATTGCCAGCGCTGGAGAATGTGCCTTTGCATTCACATTTGGGCCATTTTTCCAGTGGCTGATTAGTCAGTATGGATGGAAAGGTGCCCTCTTGATTATAGGCGGCATCCAACTCAATATTTGTATCGGTGGAGCACTGATGCGACCCCTGGCAAGCAGCTGCCTCCTTGAGGATCACCATTCTGAAACTCAAACACCACCTGGCAAGAATGCATCCAGGACAGACAAAGAAGATAAGTGTCCCATCATACACAAAACCTTCAACTGGATGCTTCTGAAGCGACCAGAGTTTGTACTTTATGCCATTTTTGGCATATTAGCTGCTATGAGTTTTTTTGTTCCTCCATTATTTTTAGTTCCATTTAGCTACAGCCTGGGAATAGATGAATCATGGACTGCATCCCTCCTATCCATTTTGGCGATGGTGGACTTTGCAGGCAGGCTGCTGTGTGGCTGGTATGCCAATCTCCATGTTACCAAAACCATTCATTTGCTGGTGATGACGATTACACTGATCAGTACTTCCCTGATGCTGTTACCACTAGCTAACAACTATATTTCCTTGGCAATATTCACTGGCTTCTATGGATTCTTCTTTGGTACAACAGTCGCCATTCACATTACAGTGCTGGCAGATGTTGTAGGCATGCCAGAATTTGATAGTGCTTTAGGGCTTTTCATGCTCATTCGAAGCTCTGGAGGTTTTGTGGGGCCTCCTCTTGCGGGTAAGTTAAGAGGATACTCTGCCAAATAGTTTACAAAGCTTACAAGAAGAAAGGGGAATGGTAACCCAAACTGAAAAGACCTGGATCTGCACCCAAATTTCCCCCTTTTTAAGCTCAGGCATATGTAAGCCAAGAAGTATATAAAAAACAAATGATTGGTTTAAATCCTCTCGAAAACACACTGTTCCCTCTCTTCTCTGTGATTTTAGAGATACCTGTTCAACATGAAAGCAGGGACGAATGGCAGGGTTCACATGGTGGTGTTCCTGCTTCTGAATCCCACATAATGCCACTTGATGGCCTCCCACTCTCTTGCTATGAAAGTGTGCCTTTGGGACAAGCAGCAGACCCATACTTTCAGAGAAGAAACTGAAATTTGAGACTAGTGATGTTGCATAAATGCTGGTATTGTTCGAAGGGTTTCTACAGAAGTTCAAATTGAACATTAGGCTATGCAAACCTCAAGGAAATATTCACAGAGATGCCTGCTGGTTTTAGACAGCATTTGAGACAACCAGTATAATAAATGGGTGAGGCAGCACATAAGAACAGTGGGAAGTGAGAGCAGACAATGAGACAGCACATGGATTCTTGGACTGGCAACAAAGCATAGTCATCTTGGAAAAATGCACAACAAATTAACTGCAAGCTGTAGGGACTTTACAAAGTGATATGGCAGAAAAATGTCCAATGTGACTAGTAAAATGCACACTGAGTCCTCATTCAAAGACCACTGCTCATGCACTACAGTGACTTCTGTGGTAATGACATCACTAATAGATTGCAAATGGGTCAGACTGAATACTGGAACATCTTAACTCACTATTGAAAATATAGGAACCAGGAAGATCTATAGAGAGTTTGAGAGAGAATGGTATGAAAAGTGTGTTGGAGAGATCTGAAAATAATACAAATGTAGCAAGACGTCTAGATAGTGGCTGGTCAGTAGCACTGATTATGTGGGGATCAGTGTGATCCATTTGTGTACATACAGTAATCTACAAAGAAGGGATGGAAGAGGAGCGAACCCTAAATGCCTCTCAAGCTCTCCTCTCCTACTCTGAGACTAAAATCTAAAAGACTTGAATTCAGAGTTCCTTTGACTATATAGGGCTGATGTCACATTAGAAGATGGACTAGAGAGTACCCCAAACATGAACAAGCTTTGCACAAGCAAGTAGTTTTCATCAGCCCACAAAGGAATATGCCATCACACACACAGAGCACTGATATACTGCTGCAGTACCACTACTACTACACTAGTGATTTCTCAGTAAAGAACAAAATGGCATTACATATTTTGGTTGGTTTAAAGTTCATTGAAAACTCAGGTCTTTTTGTTAACATCTGTGACTCCTTGTAAAATGATGAAATGGAAACTCCTTATACATCAGACAAATTCAACCAACTATGTCTCCAGCAGATGAATCTCCTTTCCTTCTTTAAACTCTCTTGTGCTGTACAGTTATGGTCCAAATTACATCATCTGATGACAGCTACGCCACAGAACATGGGGCTAGTCAGATACACAGCTGCATTGTCTGGTTTTTTTTTCTGCCAATACCTTCGCTGTCTGCCACACTTGAGGTTGGAAAGTGCTTCAAACTGTGTAGCATATTGTTTCAGTAGCAACATACAAAGCAATGGGATGTGAATTGTGTTTCAAATTTTAAAATGCTGTAATGTAGTGATGTTACATGTGCTTGTGATGTAGAAAGCTGCAAGACAGATATGTAGCCAGCACACTGACTTTGTGAGAGGATATGTTTACACTGATGAGCTTATTCACATTGGCCTCTTTTCCATCAATCACGTTTCTGTCACTTGTTTCTCTCTAGGTCTGATTGTGGACATGGCTGGAGACTACAGAGCAGGCTTCTATATGGCAGGAGCCACACTCATCCTATCAACTGGATTTTTAGTTACTTTAGATCAACTCCAACAGAGAAAAGAAAGAGGAAGCCAGACTAGTACTAAACCAGAAAAGTCAACTTTATCCTACCCTTCCCTCCATCTCCTGAAACATAAAACCAGAAGCTATTGAGAACACAGTGTAGTGATGTGACTACACTGGACCTCAGAGAGCATTTCAGGCCACATAAAAGTATTTTATTTTTGACAAATTCCGTATTAGTAGGATTTACAAAACAACAAAAGTTTTGGGTAGGAATGTTTGAAACTAAAGAATAAAGTAAGTAGTTTACAAGCAAACTATAGCAGTAACCATTATCATATTATTTTGATGTTAAAGTTCCAGTTTGACTGTACAAGTCTTCAGTCCAGTCCCACAGGGCCATGCTAAGTGAATTAGGGAAACCATGGTCTAAATTAAACTTCCATGAAGTGTATATGCAGCAGATAGAAACCCTACCCCCAAAGGCAGACTGCAGCTATCACTATCAAACAGGAAGAGGCATCACCTCACAGATGTTCAGCTTGGGGAAGTAGTGTTCAGCATTTTCAGTGAACAAGTTGGATGTGAAAGCATGGGTACCTGAATACAGTTTTGAGCTAAAGGGTTAGCAGATACTCTACAGAGCAGGGCTGGAATCAGATAAATAAATAAACCTGATAAATGGGAAAAGTTACATGCATGGTAGAATACAGTAGGGAGAAATACAGTATTAAATATCAGAAGTAAAAACCAAAATGCATCCACATAAAATTAAGTAGGATTGATAAATAGTAGAAGAAGACATATGGCTACAGTGGACTTCAAAATGAGTAAGAATGCCAAATGCAACCTTGCATTAAAAGTACTAAATGTTCTGTGTTATTGGTAAGATAGAAGAGATAATGATGCTTGCAAGGCTTTAACTGGAAGAAGGATGTAATTTGCAAAGAATTAAGTGGAACAAAAATGAGAAAATTAAGAAAACACAACCTAAGGAAAAAGTATGAAAAATTAAGTTTTTCTTGTTTAGAAAACAAAAGTTTTTACAGGGAATGAGAACAGCCTTCAAATCCACAATAGTCTGACATAAAAAAACATTGTAGCCTGCTAAGCATGGAAGCAGATAATAGATAAGACATGAGCAAGAATCTAAATATATTTGATTGCTCTTCAAAGTAGCATGATGGATTTGTCCACTTCCTGAGGTCCCCTTTAGTCCAACATTCCAACTATCCTGAGGCAAATACTTTGAGTAAATACTCTCTGAGAATAAAAGAGAGTCTGTATCCAAATAACTTTTATTTTATCAGTGGGAAGAGAGAACTTAAAAGAAGGGAGGAAGGGCTGGATCACATTTAGAAAAAACAGTAAAAGGAAAAAAACTAGCATTTTAAAGCTTCCAAAATATCATGAATATCATACCTGTCCTACTTATGAACTTTTTATGAAATTTTTACCATGGCTTCCCCCCGTGAAGTTTAACATAAATCACCAATCTAAAATAATTACTTCTTGTCTCATAAGAATAACCGGTATTTCGAAAACTTAGTTTAACTTACAGGAAATCAGCTGAACCACTAATAAATCAACTACCTGTGAGGGCTTGATGGCAGAACATACACTGGAAGGAACACAACTGGGCATGCTGTAGCAAAGTCTTGAAAAACTACTTTTCAAACTTGTCAACTGAAGAACTTGGATTTTTCTAGAAATATTAGTCTTCAGTCTTCTGCAGGGTTCCAATATTTAAAATAACTCTTCATTTTATAAAGTGAAAGGAAGGGTTATTGGAGGCAGGACAAATGGGGATATGTTTAAGAGATGTAGTTTCTACCTCTGCCTTTCTTTTAAAATTCTATATTTTATTTATGCTTGTCACTGATTTATTTTGTCATGTCCTGACATCAGACATGGGCAATAAAGAAGACACTTAATGGCATGCTATGCTCTGCTCCACAGTTGTGCATATACTCTGAAGTACAATAAAGAAGTTGACATACCTGTCTGAGTTCAGCAGAGGATCACTGAGAGGCTGTGCAACTGGGGCTGGTTCAGCCAGGGGGGAGTGGTGGCTCTGGAGGCACCAAACAGCAATCAGGTACCAACAGGAGAGACAGAGGAGATGCAGGTGGGCCCTTCACAGTGGTGCTTGGTGTGAGGGTGAGGCAGCAGCACAAGCAGGAACATGAGGAGCTCAGGCTGGAGCTGTGAGGGCAGACCAGTGGTGGGGACGTGGTCCAGGGTGGTTGGGTTGATGCCATCCTTGGGGGTCTTATGGCCTTACTGGGTGAAGTCCTGAGTAACCCGATCTGAGTCCAGAATTGGCTCTGTCAGGGTTGGCACTGGAGATTTCCCCACTTCCCACCAGCCTGACTGGGACCTTGTGAGAAAGGAAAAGTCAAACTCTTCATTCCTTTGCTAAATGCACAGAATAGTGTTAGTCACCTGGACACTGTCATTTGATGGCTATGTATGTGTTTAATGGCACAAAAGAAGTAGAATCATAGAATCACAGAAAATGCTGAGTTGGAAGGGACCCATCAGGATCATCGAGTCCAAATCCTGGCCCTGCATAGGACACCCCAAGAGTCACAGCATGTGCCTGAGAATATTGTCAAAATGCTTCTTGAACTCCTTCAGGCTTGGTGTTGTGACCAGTTCCCTGGGCACCCTGTTCCAGTACCCAAATGCCCTTTGGGGGAAGAACCTTTTTCTTGATATAAAACTAAACCTGCCCTGATGCAACTTTAGGCAAATCTCTTATGCCCTGTCACTGGTCACGAGAGTGAGGAGATTGGTCCTTGCCCCTTCACTTCCCCTTGTGAGGATCTTGAAGACCAAAATGAGGTCCCCCCTCAGTCTCCTCTTCTTCAGGCTGAACACACCATGTGACTTCAGCCACTCCTCACACAACTTCCCCTCAAGGTCCTTCACTGTCTTCATTGCCCTCCTTTGGATGTTCTCTAAGAACTTAATATCTTTTTTATATTGCAGTCCCCCAAACTGCCACAATATTCAAGGTGAGGCTGCCCCAGTGCAGAGCCTCCCTCAACTGGCTGGCGATGCTTTGCCTGATGCCCCCCGGATACGCTTGGCCCTCCTGGCTGCCAGGGCACTGCTGACTCAGATTCAACTGCCATTGACCAGGACCCCCAGGATCACGTCCTTTTCTGCAGAGCTGCTCTCCAGCCTCTCATTCCCCAGCCTATACACACATCCAGGGTCACCCCATCCTAGATGCAGAATCCAGCACTTTCCCTTGTTAAACTTGATACAGTTAATGACTGCCCAGTCCTCTAATCTGTCAAGGTCTCCCTGCAGGGCAGGGAATCGACAGCTCCTCCCAATTTGGTGTTATTGGCAAACTTACTTATTACTCCGGAGCCCCTGGTGGTCTAGTGGTAAGGGCGCGGCGCCGTCACTGCCGAGGCCCGGGTTTGATTCCCGGTCAGGGACGCTCCCGGGCAGGTGGAGCTCGTTAGCCCTTAAAAAGGCAACCCATCTACGTCCTAAGGACCTCGCTGCCACCGTCCAAGCTCGCTTGGCCCCGGCAGATGAACCTTAGGATTAAAGGGTGGGCTCAGTTCCGCGCACACTGTGTCTCACCTAAAAAATCCAATGCGCAGGCTGGAAGGTGTAAAGACCTTCCCCGGATCTTCGCTCGTGAAGACTGGCCATTATTACTTATTACTCCTTCAAGTCCTGTGCCCAAATCATTAATGAGGATATTGAACACCACAGGACCTAAGATGGAGCCCTGTGGAACCCCACTAGTTCTGATGTTCCTCCATTCACTGAAACTCTTTTGTGATATACCAGGGGTTCCAAGATAGCGGGCAGGCGAATGGCCACATGGCCGCAGAGCTCCTGCAGCCAGAGGGTGGGTGGTGGGGACCTGTTCCTGCTCCCGTGGCCCGTCGATGTGCTGCATGCATGGGAGAGGCTGCCACGCCGATCTGTGCAGCCGTCGCCGTGGAGCGGCAGAGAAGGGCTCGCAGTTGGCAGATGGCCGCCTGCCGCACAGAGTGGTCACCGGGCCAGGCCGGGTGGGAGCCCAGAGAGGGCCAGACGGCCCTGGGGGATCCCCAGACCGATGGGGCAGCAGGTGGGATAGTCCTGTTTGGCGGGGGAGAGGGATCCCTGGACCGGCAGGAGGGTGGGCGGGGCAGTCCCGTTTTGGGGGCTGCGGGGGGGGAGGCAGTGTGAAGGGTGGCTTGCGGTGACATGGTGGGGTGGAGGGGAAGGGTAAGGTTAGGGTGGGTAGTGGGTTTTTTGGGGGTTTGGGGGGGTTTAGGCTGGGCAGGGGCCATGGGAGGTGTCTGAGCCCCGGATGGTTGTGGGAACCCCTTACATGTGTGCCCAACCCACCCAGGGGTATGTTGGTATCACTCCTGCTCTGGCATTGTTGCAGTGAGGGTGGAATGTGATGGGCTTGGCTTGCCTGTGGCTTCTGCCCAGGAACGGTTTGTTTTGGAATTATAGCATCTTGGAAGGGGGCTTAGGGCAAGGAAATGTCCCTGGGTTAGAGTGCAGGAGGCTGTGGGGGAAAAGTAGGGAGAGAAGGGCTTGTCCACATTATTTCAGAGGGGAAGCCTGTGTGCCCTTATGAGGTTGTGGGCTGGGCTGGCGGTGGCATATGCCTCTGGTAGGGTCTCCCATGCCAGATAGGTCAAAACTGAAGGGTCAGATAAGACAAAATGTGTCCATGGGCAGGATGGGCTCACTAGCCTTCTGGCAGTCATCCTAGGAGAAGGACAACTCTAATTTCAAACACGGGTAGATGGAGCTCGCTTAGCCCTGTAAGGCCATCCATCCAAGAGAAGGATACTCTAATTCAATCCTACGTCCTAAGAACCTTGCTGTCACCATCCAAGCTTTCTAGGCCCTGGCAAATGAACCTCAGGAGTAAAGGGTGGGACCAGTTCTGCGCAAGCTGTGCCTCACTTAAAAAATTCCACTGACTCAAAGGTTATACCCACACTTGTAAAGCCCTGCAGTGACAGGTGAGGGATGAAACGGCAGGTGATAAGGTGCACTGGAAACTGCAGTCCTAACCCTGCATGTGGGCGGTTCAGGACATTGGTTGCCTGAGTCTGACCCTGGAGATGACGGACTCACTCGGCAGCATCCTGAACGACCAAACAGCCTTTTTCAAGGAGAGCACTGTTTGCTCCACATGGAGAGGGGCCTAGAAAAGGTGGCCAAACCAAAGCTCATCTCCACCCTTCACCTGGTTGGTTAACCGCGGCCAACGGGCATCTTCTGTTGTGGTCAAATAAAGATTAAGAGTAAAAGGCATACACCTGCCTCCAAAGGTGTACTCAAATTGACACTCAGATGCTGGAACATCAGAACCATGCTTGATACTGAGAACAGTGGATGTCCCAAGAATCGCTCTGCTCTAATTGCCCATGAACTGTCATGACTCAACATCGGCATCACTGCTCTCAGTGAAGTTCATCTCCATGAGGAAGGCAGCCTTAGAGAACATGGTGCCGGTTATACACTCTACTGGTCAGGTAAACCTAGATCTGAAAGGCA